AACAAGCAAGCGCCAAAAACAGCCAAGATCTACTCCACAGGGGGGAGGAAGCTGGTGCGCGGGCCCGCGCCGATCGGCAAAGCAACGAATCAGAAAACGAACACTATTGATAAGCCTGGGCCAGATCCCCGAAACTTCGCACGACAAACCTTGGCCAAGTGTTCGTGCTCACGCCGGAGGGGCGAAGGCGCTCAAGAAGAGCAAGGAGCAAGTGCCGTCTAAGGCCCGCGGGGGGCGGCACCTAGAACAAATACCACTACTGCTTCGTGGCCCAGTCGACAAAGTCCTGGGCCAGTTTTTTCCGGCAAGCTGGTTAATAAACGCTGGCCCAGCATGTCGGGAGGAGGTTTCTGAATCAGATGTTCGACCGCATGCCTGTTTCACCCTGCACAGGCCCTGCGACCTACGGAGGGCAGGGAACCACGGCGCCGCGCAAGGGATGGGGCTCGTGGACATGGGCCCTGCCGCTGTTGGGAGGAACCCTGCCCCACCACCCCACGATTTCGAAGCGCGAGGTGGGGCTCACGGAGCGACGCGAACCCCACCTCCCTCCCCTAGAAATCGTGGGGCGGTGGGGTGCCTTCGCGCACGCAGCTCCTCCTGGCTGTTGCACTCGGACTTCTGGGGAGCACAGGTACGGCAGGTCCGCGTCGTGACGACCCCGGCGTTGGTTCCTGACACCGCGCTGGATCGTTCAACCTTGAACGATCGGCCGTCTCCGCAACGTCCGATCGTTCAACATCGACCGATTCTGGGCCGCCGGCGGCGTTCAACCTTGAACGCCGCTGGCGGGGTCGCCGCTGGTCGACACGACGCGAACCTACCGGACCGTGCAGGCCACGCCAGAGTCTGCTGCCGACTCTGCGACGAATGCGTTTCGGGGAGCAGGGCATGGAAAGAGGGCGGTGACCCCTGCGGGGGCCGAAGGCCCGCCGCCCAATATTTTCTTTCGCTGCTGTTTAAAGGGGCCCAGGGACACACGCAAATAAATACACACACATAACAGGATTCCCCCATATTCTTCCTATTTTTAATTTTTGTTGTCTTCCCCCCCACTTCCCATAGTTTCCCATGTTTTCGGGGGGGTCGACGATTCATTGTGTCTGTGTGTTGTTTCCATCCTGATTGTTGTTTCTCTCATCGCGGCGGACGTCGCCGGCCATACAATCTCAGAGTCAGTCGCCAAACGCTGCCACTCGAAAGGCCACTGTGATGCGCAAGATCCGCACACCACGCGTGCACCGCCTGCGGATGTGCGGACTACGGCCCTGGCGCACAAAAGGCGCACTGGCACACGGCCCATCGCCAAATACTGTTCTCGTTTGGCGCAGGGCTGGTGGGCGGGGGCGGACATATCACAGCAGCGTCGCACCTCGACCAGCCAGACGTGACGCCACAAGGCCTACAGTCAACCCGCATGGTACGGATGAGCAACTTCCCAAGGCAACCTTTGCATCCTTGCTCATTCGGCCCATCCTCGGCGACCTTCGCTGGCCAACCTCGTTCGAGAAACGTTGACATGGCCCCCCAAAGCCCTTGCATCCTCACCGCGCATGCTTGTCACACGCGTTAGCAGTACTCGGCAGACGCGATCCGGAGTCCTGCTGCGAGAAGCCACGGGACACATCCTCCGTCGATCTCTGTGGGCCCCAAGGTTGCCCCAGAGCTTCTGTGGGTCCCTGGGGCCATCGGGGGTAAGAGGCCGCCGCGGGGGCACCTGCCGGCGGGCAGACCTCGTCTCTGAGGCGCCTGCTGCGCCTTCAGACAGGGAGCATGCTGCTGGGGACAAGGGGAGCAGGAAGTCGGCCAGAGCAATCACACGCAGAAAGCATCCATACACCGCCACCGTGCCAGGCCAGGGCCATCCTGGGCCCTCGGATGGTGTCTACGCCCTCCTGGCCGAGCCCGCAGGGTCTACACACCATCCTGCGGCCCAGGATGGCCCTGGCCTGGCACGGTGGTGGTGTATAGATGCCGTCGTCGGAAATAAGAGCAGCAGGGGAAGGCGCCCAGCGCGGTGAAGCTCCACCGGGCGGGGAGGGAGCGCCACGGGCACCGGCAGCACGTCGACAGACCACGACCACGACCACACTCACACGCGCACACACACGATCTCAGGAGCGCCTGCTGATGCCAAGCGGTCCTGTGGTGTTGGGACCTCGTCTTGGCCCTCGCCCTCCCCTTCCTCCTCCTCCTCCTCCTCCTCCTCCTCCTCCTCCTCCGCCACCTCCTCCTCCTCCTCCTCCTCCTCCCGTCCCTGCCATGCCTGCCTGTGCCCTCCGCATGCCTCCCTGCTTCCGCACACCCCTCACACGCTCCCTAGCCCCAAAGGGAGCTCCACCTAAGGCCCCAGTGGCTGCGTTCGCATGGCGCCGCCGCACCCGTTTCGGCACACCCTTCACACGCTTCGTGGCCAGATAGCGAGCCCCATCGAAGGCGCAAGCGGCTGCGTTTGCATGGCACCGCCTTGCGCATTTCGGCACACCCCTCACACGCTTCGTGGCCCCACAGGGAGTTCCACCGAAAGCCCCAATGGCTGCGTTCGCATGGCACCACCGTGCCTGTTTCGGCCACACCTCACACGCTTCGTGGCCCCACAGCGAGCTCCAACCAAGACCCAAGTGGCAGCCCTCGCATGTCACCGCCTTGTCCAGGTCGGCACACCCTCACACGTTTCGAGGCCCCATAGAGAGATTCACCGAAGGATCAAGTGGCTGTGTTCGCACAGATCCGCCGAACCTATTTCGCCACACCGTTTCGTGGCCGCGTAGCGAGCTCCATCGAAGGCACCAGTGGCTGCGTTTGCATGGCGGCGCTGCACCCATTTCGGCACACTACTCACATGTACCGTGGCCCCATAGGGAGCCCCACCGAAGGCTCAAGTGGCTGCGTTCGCATGGCATCGCCTTACGAATTTCGGCACACCCCTCACACGTTTCCCCATATACAGAGATCCACCGAAAGCTCCGGTGGCTGCATTCGCATAGCATCGCCGTTCCCGCGTTGGCACACCCCTCACACGTTTCGTGGCCCAACAGCGAGCTCAACCGAAGACCACAGTGGCTGCGTTCGCATGGCACCGCCGCACCCGTTTCGGCACGTCCCTCACACGCTTCGCGGCCCCCTAGGAAGCTCGACCGAAAGCGGAACCCACCACGTGGTGCTCACAACTGCATCTGGTTGGGTCCTTCGCCAGACTCCTTCTGTGTACGGCGGTAAATCTCGAGCACGACTGCGGCCACAGCTCGGGAGGTCGTCGGAGGCGGGCGCCGCATGCTCAGCTGAGGCGGCCGGCGCTCCACGCCTTCCCTCCCACCATCTCCTGCCCCCTTTGTGCCTCCTGCTCTCTCTCGTCCCCCTGCGCCCCTCACGTCATCGTGCGCGAGCGGGCCTGAATTCCTGACTTGGGCGCTGCTCGCAGGGGCGAGAGCGACGGACGCGAGGGTCCAGGGTTTGGGCCCCTCTGGGGCCTCAGATCTGTCCGAAGTCGGCGCGTTCCCCTGAAACGCCGACCGCAGCATTCTGATCTGAATTTTTTATAACAGTGAGCAAAATGATGATGATGATGATGATGATGATGATGATGATGATGATGATGATGATGATGATGATGATGATGATGATCATCATCATCATCATCATCATCATCATCATCATCATCATCATCATAATCATCAGCATCAGCATCATCATAATCATCATCATCATCAACAACATCACCATCCTAATCATCAGCATCATCATCAGCATCAGCATCAGCATCATCATCAGCATCAACATCATCTGTATCACCATCATCACCATAGCCATCACCATCATCGTCATCATCATCATCACCATCATCAATACCATCATCAGCATCATCGTCATCATCATCATCATCACCATCATCATCACCATCATCATCATCAACATCAGCATCATCATCATCACCACCATCATCACCACCATCACCATCATCATCATTATCATCATGATCAGCATCAGCATCAGCATCAGCATCATCATCACCATCAGCATCAGCATCATCAGCATCACCATCATCATCATCATCATCATCACCATCACCACCACCACCATCATCATGTGTGTGTTCTAGCTGCCTGCCTCACCAGGAGTGCACGCCCGGGCATGCCCGTGCCCAGGTGGCAGGGCACTGCCCAAGTTTCGATATGCACGCGGGGGGCGGCGGTGACTCGCCGCAGGCGTCTCCGAGGAAGAGAGCGCAAGGGAGGAGACGAGGGCGGATGAGAAGAGGTGGAGCAGCGGCAGGAGGAAGAAGCGGAGGAACATGGGGAGACAGGATCCGATCACGCGCGGCAGACGTCGCCACATCCGCGCCCCTGCCGGTCTGGACTCCGGGGCGCGATATCCCGCGGACGCCCGGCCGAGTGGGTACGTTCAGCGCGGGGCACCCGCGGATAGAAACGCCCCGAAGCCACGGGATCGCGGCCCAAGAGCCTGGTCCGCGAGGCCGTTGGCACGGATACGTTTTGCCCCCCAAGGGGGGATGCGCAACTTCGGGGGCGGCCAGGAGGGGGGGCGCAAAGCATGGCCGGCGGCATGTGCGCGGCTCAGGGGGGGGGGGTTAGGGACGTAATGAAATCAGAAGAAGCGCCATGAAACCTGAGGAAATACCATGGCCCAAGCCATGAGATCTACCCCCCCTAGTCATCACCCCCCTCCTTGCCGCCCCCGACGAGTGCAGCACGGCGAGGACAAAGCAGGAGGCGCAGGCCTGCTTATCTGGATCCCTTCACCTTGTTTTCCGCTTCAGCGACGAATCCCCGCAGGCGAGAGATTCGGAGCAGCGCACACGCCGACCTGCAACAGGCAATCCCATGCACAGAGGCGTGGCATTTGAGAACAGTCAATGACGTCGCGCACATACACGCGCGCACGCACACACACACACACACATGTACCTTACGACCAGACTGGCCAAACGTACAACATTCGCACTACGGCAGAGAGAAGGGGACATGCTCGGACACCGACGTCTACCTCATGATGCCCCAGCTCGGCCGCGCGATGCGTCCGACGCACCTGTTGAACGCTGCCATGTCGAACAAGTTACTCGAACCCTTGTCCGAATTCTCAGCCCAGATCCACCCGTCCATCGGCGCGTTCCAGTACTCCTGGTAGATGACGCAGTTTGTGTTCAACATCGCTGGGACATGACCGAAGCTACTCCGAGACAGAATCACGAAGTCGGCCCGCGCGATGTGCGCCCAAGCATCTAAGACAGCATGTGACGCCCAAGTCTTGTCTTCGTCGGTATGCACGTGGCACCCGGCGCTTTTGTAGACGTTGAACTCGCGCTGGTCGGTGCTCTCATCTACGCTGGTGAAAACGTGCACGTCGGCGTCGGGCATCAGGTGCCTGATCTTCAGGATCTTGTCCATGTACCAGGAATGCGGCGACCACCTAAACTGGTTCATACCTTTCTCCTTCACGTCACCTCTCCGGATGTGCACTGCCACGGTGGGCCGCCCGTCGCTGGCGAACCACAACGGGCGCTCCATGACGGCCCTGTTTGATCCCATTGCCCGGAGGGTGCTGACGAAGTCCTTGGTCATGTACTGCTGGATCTCTTGCCTCGCAGTGCGCTGCTTAGCAAACTGCATGGCAACGTCGGATGCGTCGAGAATGCTCTGGGACCCCGGCGCGAGCGGGTCGGGTCTGCCGAGGGGGACGGTATCGCTGGTGTCCTTCTCCAGCGCCCTTATGTCGAGATACTTGGCAACGTGGGGCTGTCTCCTGTTCACGAACAGGTCGGTGGAGTTGAGGCCGAAAAAGAAATCGTAAACCATCTTCGCGTCGACGCCGTACGGGAAGCCATGGTAAATCCTGACCGGGCACTCGAATGGGACCGAGACGAAGCCAGCAACGTTCATGCCGTTTTTCGCAGCGACAGCCATCCCCAGGATCATGTTGTGGATGCGCGTCCCGACGCCGTCCTCGGACTCCTGGATCCACAGACTCGGCGAGCCCTCCGGGTGCATCATGCAGAGGGGGCATGCGCTCAAGGTCGCATTGGGCACGGACCCGATGCGCAAGTTGCGACCCGTCTCCAAGTCGGGGAGCATGGCGCACATGGAGGTGTCGGACTGCGACCGGCGACTCCCGCCGACCAGCTGCTGCGCCACCTCCTCTGCCGCCGCTCCGGCGGCGGTGTCGGTGGCCTCGACATGCTCGCTGGGCGGCTGCGCCTGCAACGCGACCGCCAGCGGCAGTCCCACGAGCGCCAGTGCCTTGAAGCCAGGGGCCATGGCGGACAGGTGGACGGGCGCAGTGGGTGAGGTAACGGGGTGGCTGTCAGAGGACCTCTGCAAATGGCTGTGCGGCGGAGGAGGGGGCGAGGAACAGGATCAGGGCCAGAGTAAGCCCGGCACGCAGAGCGACTCCCTCCCGTCCTGCGTCACCTCCGCAATGGGAAAATCAGATCGTCACCACAAACGGACGGAGAGGGCCTCATGGACCTGCGCGTTGATCAAATGCACATCAACTGTCAGATGACGATTCGGCCGCGTGGTGTAGAATTTGAGATTGGGCACCCGTTAGAACATTTGCTCGGCATCGAAATGTTGGCACGACTTTGAAAGACAACCACCCTCCATCGGTTTGGACATTGTGGATGTCAAGATGTAGGAACCCACAACCAGGATTATTCAACCGAGGGCCAGACATTGGAAACGAACCACCCTCCAGTACTGCAAGTCCTGCGAGCCGTGAATACGAACGAGCCCGATGGCACAATGAGAACTCATTATGTGAGAACTACCCGCCTTCAACTCTCGTAGCTGTTGGAATGACCGAATTCTTTTTTGCGTGGGGTACGTAATCGCTAAGGAAATTCATGGCTCTCAAAACGAATCGTCCTCCATTTGCTTATCTGTTCAAACGGTTTGACACGAACGTGAACAACGAAGAAGCGATGAGCACAATTCGAATACGGCACGCCCTCCGTCCATGTAGATATTGGCGCCTTCATGCTTTAGGCTCACATGGCACGTGAAGAAGCATCGCGAATCGCCCAGGCAGCCATGCTGACACAAATCTGGCCGTGCGGCGAGGAGAAATTATATTCCCGCCACCATACCACTGGCACAGCGTGGAGCGTCCTCAGGATAGCCCACAGTTGTGAGCACGCGGGTGTTGGAATGCCCCAAGAGTGCAGCAAGATGGTTTTATAACGCCCCAGGAGCCCACCAAGACGGCCAACGGGTATACCGAGAGGGCCCCATGACAGCCTCAATGGGAGGTCGCCAAGACGGCCAGAGAGGCCCAGCCTACCATGCCCCACGATATGGACTTCTCGGTCGCAGAGGGCGGCGGCGAAATGCTGGAGGCGTTGTCGACAAGCAGGAAGGATGGAGGAGCATGGAGAGCGGGGATATACCTCGTCACTCGATTATCAACGGGACCTTTCGGCAGTCCATGGTTTTCGCATAGTCACAGGTCGCAGACGTGACTGCTAAGAAATCTCCTCCTTCTCCTTCTCCCCCGTTTCCATCCCCCTCCTCCTTCCTCATCCCCCTCCTCCTCCTCCTCCTCCTCCTCCTCCTCCTCCTCCTCCTCCTCCACTTCACTCCTCCTCCTCCTCCTACTGTCCTCCTCCTCTTCCTCGGCCTCTTCTTCGTCCTCCTTCTCTTCCTCCTCCCCCTCCTCCTCCTCCTTCTCCTCCTCCTCCTCCTCCCCCTCCCCCTCCTCCTCCTCCTCCTCCTCCTCCTCCTCCTCCTCCTCCTCCTCCTCCTCCTCCTCCTGACACCTGGCACCTCGTGGCATGACAATTCTTCTGAACTTTGCCTCCCCCTCCTTCAGGGTCGGTCGGCCCTAAGAGGGGTTGATCCAAACGAGGGCCCAGTGACCCCTGGAGCACTGCTCCAGGGGCCACTGTCGCGCACGTGCTATACGTGAAGTAGAAGAAGGTGCAGGTAGGACAGACAGAAAAGACGCCGGGGGGGGGAAGAGGGGATGGGAAACATGACGATGTGACGAGGAGGAGGAGGGAGGAGGAGGAGGGAGGGCAAGTAGTGCCCCCTCCTCCTCCCCCTCCCTCCTCCTCCTCCTCCCCGCCTTTTCCTCCTCCTCCCGCCTTTTCCTCCTCCTCCTCCTCCTCCTCCTCCCGCCTTTTCCTCCTTCTCCTCCTCCTCCTCCTCCTCCTCCCGTCTTTTCCTCCTCCTCCTCCTCCTCCTCCCGCCTTTTCCTCCTCCTCCCCCGCGCCAGGGCCCGCGCGTGCCTCCCGCGTGGCGACCCCCAGCGCTGCGGCCTCGTCCTCCGGAGCACCTTCCGGGCCGAGGCAGCGACGAGAGGTGGCAGACCCGCCATCCTGCTCCGTCTCCCGCCCCTCCCGTCCCGTCCCGTCCCGCTCTGTCCCGTCCCGTCCCGTCCGGCTCCTCCACCTCTGCCGTCCGCGCCGCCCTCCAGACGTCGCCCCCTGTCTCTTGTGTTTCCTTTCTCCGTAGCTCTGCCTCTCCCTCTCGTTCCCGCCCTCCCGCCTTCCCTCCTCACTCTGTCCCGCTGGCCTCCCGTCCTCCCTTGCACGCTCATTCGATGGCTCCCCTCCCTCTGCCTCTCCCTCTCTGTGGTCCTCTCCCTCCGTCTCCATCGGTCAGCCCCCTCACCTCCCCCTCTTCCTCCCTCCTCCTCCTCCCTTCTCCTCCTTCTCCTCCTCCTCCTCCTTCTCATCCTTCTCCTCCTCCTCCTCCTCCTCCTCCTCCCCCTCCTCCTCCTCCTCCTCCTCCTCCTCCTTCTCCTCCCCCTCCTCCTCCTCCTCCTCCTCCTCCTCCTCCTCCTCCTCCTCCTCCCCAAATTCCCCCTCCCTCCTTCCTGTCCAGTGCCATCCCTCCTCCTCACGCAAAACACAATACACCCAAACTGGTTCCTCCGACGCCGCCGTGAGGCATGGTTTAGACTGCAACACCAGCACACGCCAGCGACACCAGTGCCCCAACCACCAGCGACACCAGCACCAACATCCCGTGCCATGGGCCGAAGGGGACCTGGCATGCCAGGGCATGAAACAACGGCGCATGTGCATACGTACGTGCATGCATACACACATGCATGCATACATACATGTATGCATATATACATAATCACAAACAAATATACATGCACATCTAGACGCGCACGCACGTTCGCACATACACACATACAGATGTAGACACCCATACATACGTACATACATACGTATACACATACATACATACATACATACATACATACACATACTTACATACATACATACATACATCCATACATACATACACACCTTTCTCTCTCTCTATATATGTGTACACACGTACATACATGCATACATACATACGTACATACGTGCATACACACCTACACATACACACGCATGCATACATGCACACTTGCCTATATGCATGCCCATATACATGCATGCAGACACATCCATATACACATGCATTCATACATGCATACATGCAGACATACATACATAAATGCGCACATGCATGTACACATGCATGACCGCGTGCATTCATACATACATGTATGCATACATGCATACCCCATACATACCATACATACATACATACATGCATACATACATACATGCATGCATATGTACATACACGTATATACATCCCCATACATACCGATATACACATGCACACATACATACATGCATACACACACACATACATACATACATACATACAGACATACATACACACATACATACATACATACATGCATACATACATACATACATGCAGGCGTGCAGGCATGCGTGTATGTATGCATACGCCTGCATACGTACACACACATACGTGCCACATACACGCAGGCATTGATGCAGGCATACATGTATACCTATACAAAGGCATACACACATACATACATACATACATACATACATACATAACTACATACATACATACATGCATACATACATACATGCAAACACACATACGTATAGGCATACCCATATATACATACATACATACATACATACATACATACATACATACATACATGCATGCATGCATGCATGCATGCATGCATGTATACATACATGCATGCATACATGCATGCATACATACATACATACATGCAACCACACATACGTATATGCATACACACATACGTACAGACAGACAGACAGACAGACAGACAGACAGACAGACAGACAGACAGACAGACAAACAGACAGACAGACAGACAGACAGACACACAAACATGTATCCGCCACCGTGCCGCTGGGCACGGACGTGGCGTGTCGCCAGGTCCTTTGCCCAATCCCCTTCAGCCCTTGGTTCACAAGAGTCAGTTCGGGGCCCGGACCCCATTTCCCAAACTCTCCAAGGGCTTGTCGCGTGCCCCCCTGGGCTCCCCCGCATCTTGTCGCGTGACTTTTTCGGGCCCACGAGGACCCTAAGACGGGACAAGCTTGCCTCTCAAGAGGCTCCCAAAGACGGTCCAAGAGGGCCCCGAGTGGCCGAGAGATCGCCCCAAGACGCCCGAGAGGGCCTCAAGACGGTCCAAAAGGACCCCTATGACGCCCAAGAGGCCTCGAAAAGACCTGCCAAGGCTCCAAGAAGCCAAGATCATTGAATCTACTGAGGCCTTTGAATGATGTTGGCGTTCTCGCCTTTTTGGTTGTCCGACGCTCCCAGACGGCTCACCAGGCCCCGCAGGACCACCCCAAAACGGCCCAGAAGGCCTCCGAGAGGGCCCCAAGCCGGTCTGAGAGCGCCCCAGGACGGTCCCCAAAGGGGGCCCCCAAAAGAGGGATCGCGAACCGAACAGCCGAGCCTTCCGCCCCAAGAGGCCCCAAGGAGGTCCCACGAGGCGCCCAGCTGGCCCCAAGAGGCCCCGAAGGGGCCCCCAAGAGGCTCCCAAGAGGCCCACAAGGGACCCCAAGAGGCCCCAAAGCGGCCCACAAGGGGCCTCCAAACTGCCTCCAAGAGGCCCCCGAAAGCCTCCCACGAGATCCCAACGAATATCCAACAGGCTTCTTACCTACAGCACAGGCACAGTGGCGGGATGGGCCGACGGTCATCAGTTATATGTGTTTCTACGTTTGTATACATACACATATACATATATATAAATATACACATGGAGAGAGAGGGAGGGAGGCATGTGTACATATGTATGTATAGACAGACAACAAACATATATGCGCATATATACATATATATATATATGTATACGAATCGATGTATAAGCATCCATGCAACCACAACTATAACTATGTGAGTGTGTGTATGCGTGTGCCTGCTGTGACATCGGCTGCACCTTCCCAGCTCTTACCTGCCTGACTCCGCCTCGTCGCTACACACGCGGCCACGACGCCGCCAAACGTGTGCCTGATCATCTCGGTCTTCGTCCAGGCAGTGCCCGCACTTGAAGGGGCCCCAGGACACACAAAGAATTATCCCGGCAAAGCAACCTAACAGCGATGTGTAGAAGCATATCTGAAAGCATTCCCCTTAAGATTCAGATGAAAATCCAGTTGTCGAATTCTGCTGTTCTCGCAGTCGTAGTCGCATTCGCGATGACAGTCGCAGCGGCAACGGCAGTCGCAGTCACAGCCTCAGCCTCAGCCTGCCTCCTCCTCCTCCTCCTCTTTCTCCTGCTCCTCCTCCTCCTCCTCCTCCTCCTCCTCCTCCTCCTCTTCCTCCTGCTCGTCCTCGTTCTCGTCCTCCTCGTCTTGCTCGTCCTCCTCCTCCTGGTGCTCTCTCCTCCTCCTCCTCCTCCTCCTCCTCCTCCTCCTCCTCCTCCTCCTGGTGGTCCTCGTTCTCCTCCTCCTGGTGCTCTCCCCCCCCCTCCTCCTCCTCGTCCTCCTCCTCCTCCTCCTCGTCCTCCTCCTCCTCTTCCTCCTCCTCCTCCTCCTCCTCCTCCTCCTCCTGGTAGTCCTCCCCCTCCCCTCCTCCTCCTCCTCCTCCTCTCCTGGTCGTCCTCGTTCTCGTCCTCCTCGTCTTGCTCGTCCTCCTCCTCCTGGTGTTCTCTCCTCCTCCTCCTCCTCCTCCTCCTCCTCCTCCTCCTCCTCCTGGTGGTCCTCGTTCTCCTCCTCCTGGTACTCTCCCCCCCCCTCCTCCTCCTCCTCCTCGTCCTCGTCCTCCTCCTCCTCCTCCTCCTCTTCCTCCTCCTCCTCCTCCTCCTCCTCCTCCTCCTCCTCCTCCTGGTACTCCTCCTCCTCCTGGTCGTCCTCCTCCTCCTGCTCCTCCTCCTCCTGCTCGTCCTCCTCCTCCTCCTCCTGCTCCTCCTGCTCCTCGTCCTGCTCCTGCTCGTCCTCGTCCTCCTGGTCTTGCTCGTCCTCCTCCTCGTCGTGCTCTTGCCCCTGCTGAAAATGTGGCCCAGGAATGGGAGTTCTGGGAAGTCGAAGAGCACGAAGTTGCCTACAGTTGGCTACGGGCATTCAAAATGTGGCCCGGGAATGGAGTTCTGGGAACTCGAAGAGCACGAAGTGGCCTACAGTTGGCTCCGGGCATTCAAAATGTGGCCCGGGAATGGAGTTCTGGGAACTCGAAGAGCACGAAGTGGCCTACAGTTGGCTCCGGGCATCCAAAATGTGGCCCGGGAATGGAGTTCTGGGAACTCGAAGAGCACGAAGTGTGTGACTGTTGCATCCGGCCCTCCAGAATGTGGCCCGGGAATGGCGTTCTGGGATGTCGAAGAGCACGAAGTGTGTGACTGTTGCATCTGGTTATTCTAAATGTGGCCCGGGAATGGCGTTCTGGGATCTCGAAGAACACGAAGTGTGTGACTGTTGCATCCGGGTATTCAGAATGTGGCCTGGGAATGGAGTTCTGGGAAGTCGAAGAGCACGAAGTGTGTGACTGTTGGTGAAAAACGAGCCCGGCACCCTGCCGCCCGGCAACTCCCCAACACCTGCCCGGACCCCCCTGTGGAGTGATCTGTGAGCTCTTTTGAGTCAACTAGAAACCTATCAGTCTTCGCTGTTAGGTAAATACACACAAATAAAAAGGTTCCCCATAGTTTCTCATATCTTCTGGGTTTTTGTCTTCCCCCCAATTCCCATATTTTCCTATATTTTCATGGGAATCGACGATTAATTGTGTCTGCGTTTATTTTCCCCTCCTGAGCATTGTGGGTCTCTTGCTCCTGTGCTCAGGGGCGGGCCTGGTATGGCGGGGTCTGGCCAGCGACGCACATGGGCCTCAGACCGCACAGGTGTTCCACGCGCGTGGGGTTCCAAACGAACGAGGCGAAGTACGCACGGACGGGGATTTCCACAGACATGGGCTTCCAGACGCATAGGGGTTCCACACGCACGAGGAGTTTCACGGGGTTCCACGCACAATGGGTTCCACGAACATGAGGCTCCACACGCGTGGGTTTCCACACACAGTTCGCTCCTGTCCAGCTGTTTTGGGTCCACGAGCCCGTGTCAGATCCAGCTTTCAACATTCGCGCTGAGATTCGATCTCGTCCTTGCCATTTCTAACTCGACGCATTACTCCTTGTTGGTCAGCCCCATCTTGACTCGCTCGCCCCATCTACACCTCGCCTGCCGTGTGGTGGAGATGTACCTTCACTGTCATAGCATATTGCTGTTTGCTGCGCGATGGTTTGTTTTCCAGAAAGTCACAGCGGTGCTGCGCCCAGAATTCGACGAGGCGATTCGCTTTTGTGCTACACTCTGTGACCACATGCCTGAGGGTCTGAGAGCGCCTGCGAAACGCACGCGAATGGACAAGCGAACACGCTCGCAAAGCCCGCAAGGGGGGGGTTGAGAATCAGCTCACGTAGCTGATTTTCCCGGCGCCTCCCGGCGCCGGAGGCGGCTATGTATCGAGGAATCGGTGAGGCCGAAACCAGCTGCATGCAGCAAATTTCGTACCCCCCCTTTCCCAATCCCCCCCTTTCGTCCGGCCCGACACATGCCGTGCCCGACAATGGGGGCACACACGGCGCACATGCCATCTGGCAGCATCACGCCACGCAAACCGAGCTCGCAACGTCATGCCAACCCGAGCGGTGCCACCCGCGTGTGTCCTCCTGCAGCGACACCAGCAGATGGGGGGGGCGGCCCGCGCTGCTCGCACAACCCGCCGCCGCTCCCTGGGCGCTTGCCGCTCTGGGAGCTGCGCCGCTCCGGAAGCCGAGTCAGTAGTCGAGCAGGGTGAGCTGCATGCGCTCGATCTCCAGGAACGCGGCCTTCATGAACAGGATCACCGCCTCCACCCGGCACTCGTCATCCTCGGGCGTGGCAACGGCTGGCCACCTGCCAGACCACCCCCACCCGACCCGAATCCGACCCGAACTTCGGTTGGGGGGGGGGGGGCGGTAGGGGTTCCATGTGCTCTTGTCCATGTTCCCCGACCCCCCGCCCTCCGGGTCTTCGCCTCCGGCTCCTGTCCAAGGCTTCCTTTTCCTGTGCAAGCTCTTCGGCACCGCCTGCACCCCGGCCCGCCCTCCGGCCGCCTGAGGCCCCGCCCGCCTTTGCCCTGTCTCCCCAATTAGAGCTGTGCGTAGCCCGCCGAGCTTTTACCGGAAGAGGTTCGCTCTCGCCCGCAGACCAAAAAAGTTCCCCGACCCCCCCGCCCCACTGGCAATGGAGGGCAAACTGCAGCACTCGGGCTGGGCTGGGGTGGTCTGGTGGGCGGTGAAAGGCGGGGGCGCCTGGCCCGCGGCTGGCCCGCGGAGCGCAGGGGGGGGGCCAGCGCGTCGACCTCGACGTTCGGCGGATGCGCCGCCGATGCACCGGCGAGACGGCCCTGCTGGCTGGCGAGGCCGCGCGTGCACTGGGCAGGGCGGGGCCCTCGGGCCCCCGCCGGCGATCACTGGCGCTCCGAGGGCCGATGCGCCCCCGCCCCCATCCTCCTCCTCCTCCTCCTCCTCCTCCTCCTCCTCCTCCTCCTCCGCCTCCTCCTTGTCCTCCTCCTCCTCCTCCTCCTCCTCCTCCTCCTCCTCCTCCTTGTCCTCCTCCTCCTCCTCCTCTTCCTCCTCCTCCTCCTCTTCCTCATCTTCCTCATCTTCCTCCTCCTCCCCCTCCTCCTCCTCCTCCTCCTCCTCCTCCTCCTCCTCCTCCTCCTCCTCCTTGTCCTCCTCCCCCCCCTGAGCTGATGCTCCTCGACGGTCGGAACGAGGGCATGAGATCGCGGTCGGTTCGGGGAGGGTAAAACCCTACTGCTCTGCGTGCTCGCTTGACGCTCTCGCGCATCCTGGGGAGGGTACCCTTTTGGTTGTTCTGCGTATTTTGACCGACGCAGGGTCTCATGCTCTCGAGGGACGATGTTATTCTGGCCCAGGCCCGCCTGTTACTTGAAGGAGAAAGAAACCATAAACACAAACTGTTGGCGCTCCGCGCGGATTGCTTGGATCTGCGCTGGACCCCCCTTCCCTGGCGCGCGGAGCGCGCCAGGGGCGGCGCTGGAGGCCCCGCCGGGGGGGCCCAGCGCGGATCCAAGAAATCTGCGCGCAGCGCCAAAAGTTTATGTTTATCCATCGGCCGGAAGAAGTAGGAAGAAACAGGACGCAGGACGGCGTTGAAAGTATACCGGGCCCCGCCTGCCCCCCCTTGAGGAGGACGCAGAGGGTGAAGCCCCTCGATCGCTGAAGCAGGCAGGCGCCATCGTAGAACGGGAACCCGGGAATCCAAAAACCAGACCTACCTTCAACTACCACTGCGTGTTAAAACAGGGCTAGGATCGGGATAAATCGCTCCAGAGCGTTCCGGAGCGCTCTCAGAGCGTTCCGGAACGCTCTGGAGCGGCCGCGGCGCCCAAGACATCCTCCAAACCCGCCGATTCTCAGAGATTTCGAGTGATCCCGATCCGATTTTGTCCCGATCTTCGCGTCGTTTTACGTGTGGCGCTCTCTCTCCTCCGATGGTCCTCGTGTGGGGCCACGGCTGCTCCGCCCGCCGCCCCCGCGCGCCCGCCCGCGCCCGGCCCCGCCCGCCCCTGCGCCGCCGCCCCGCGCAGCCGCAGGAAGAGCTCCTGCATGCCCGCGCCGCCCGGGCCCCCCGCGGCGCCGGAGGCCTCCGCCGCGGCCCCGGAGGAGCAGCTCCCCGCGCCGGCGGCGGCGGCGGAGGAGCCCGGCGGGGCCGCCGCGGAGCTCAGGAAGGACTCGGCGGGGTCGCCGTCCAGGCGCTCGCGCAGGAGGAGGCCCAGCATCCTGCGGCCGCGGGCGCGCCGGGCGCGGCCCTCGGAGAGGCGGGGAGCGGCCCGGCTCGCGGGGATTATAATGATATGGCGATGGCGCGGCGAGGGCGAGCACAGCGAGGAAAACGATGCCGGCGAGCACGGCGGGCCGTGCTGGACTCCTGCGGTGCCCGGCGGGAGTGCGTGGCACGGGGTGCAGCAACAGGAAGGCTCGCCCAGGGCAGGCAGCGGCCTCGAGGTGTGCTCCCGCCCGCGGTCCGCCGCACGCGCTGCGGCAGCGGCGGCCCCCCAAGAGTGAGTCGAAAACGCGGGCGGGCCGGGTGGCTCGAACAAGCTCGACGGGCGTGACTCGTAGAGCTTCCCTGAGAGCGAAGCGGCAAAGCTTAAGAGCAGTTCGACAACGCTGGCGGCGAAGCTCAAGAGGAGTGACTCGTAGAACCCGACCCCCTCCCCCCCAAGCGCGCCCTCGAGCGCAGCGCAGCCGGAGGCCACTCCGGCGGAGGGCCGCCCTGCTCGGCGGAGGGCGGGGAAAGGTGCCCACGCCGCTCCCCCTGCCCTCGCCTGGCTCGCTCTCCCCTATCCCCATCCCCTATCCCCATCCCCTATCCCCTCCCCTCGCCCTCGCCGTCCCCTTCCCTCGCTCTCCCCTGTTTGGGGGCTTCCTGGGAGGCCCTCGCCGCCACCAATGGATTCGCCTCGAAATTCTGGTCAGAGCGCACGGGCGGGTGCTCACGGGGGGCGACCCGACTGGGGGGGGGGAGAAGAGGGCCCCTTCGGGGCCCTCTTCTTCCCTCCCCCCCTTTAGGTCGTCGCTTGGACGTCCACTCCCCGTGTATGTCTCGACTCCGTGCGTGTCTTTTGGGCTCGATGATGCAGGATGCTCCTAGATGGCCCTCGCCGAGAAAAAATGCACACGTCCGAGCGAGGCCCAGAATACCACCCTGCCGAGCACTCCGGGAGAGGTCCGGGGAGCAGCGGCATCGTCACCTGTCGGTTGCCCCGCCCTTCTCTGGCGTTGCGGCCCAGGTCCTCTCGGCACCCCGCGGCAGCCACCGCCGCGGCGCCGCGCCCGGGCCTCGCGCCAGCTGTCCCCCCCCCCCCCGAGGGGCAGACCACATGCGACCCCCTACAGTCAAAACTGAGACGGCGAGGGCGGTGGAGAAAGATCCGCTGGGGAAAAGGGTCCAGGGTCTGGAAGACGGCGGAACTCCAATCGTGGATCGGCCATCCGCCCTCGTCAGATAAGGAGTCCTGCAGAGTCTGACTCCTCCTGCCGGAACGAGCGCCCCCACCGCAGCAAGGATGCGCGATGAGGATGCAGGAGCCGTGGGCGCCCAAGCCGAAGCTTTTTTCGAGCGGGGCCAGCCGTCGACAGCGGGCGAGGATGGACCGAAGATGGCCGAAGCGACAAGTATGCAGGGGTACCCTTGGGAAGTCGATGGGCTCTCACTGTTTTGAAACTGTACCCCAGCAAGCGACATGTCGGAAACGCCGGCTGGGGTTCAGAAGCCGGAGGATGTCTGCGGCCGAGGGAACCCCAGCAGGGGCGTCCGATGCCCCAGCGCCGATGGGACCCGCAGGGACAGGGCTCCCAGACATCCGGCAACACGCGATGTCTTGATGTTTTTGTTGGAACGCGGCCCTCGAAGCCCCGATCCTCGCCCCAAGGGCAACGTTCCATCCCGAGCCGCTTTGTGGACGGCCTCGCGGCCTGGCGAGGGCACCCGGAGGCCAACATCGGCCACAGGCCGCGCGCCCTGCTTCTGTTTCTGGGTGACCCAAAAGGAGGTCCAGCTGAAAGGGGGTGGTGCAATAGATTTGGGGCAATTGAATTGCGAATGTATTGCGCCGGAGAATGGTATTGCATTGTATTATTGCAGGTCATGTATTGCACGCGGGAATCCAGCAATACATTTGCGCCCTGGAACGCATTGCGCGCCCCAAATGTATTGCAGCCCGGCAAATCTATTGCACCAAATCTATTGCACCACCCCTTTGTCGCTGGATCCCCTTTTGGGTCAACCCGACTGATGGACGACACAAACATGCCTGGGGCAATTAAGGTGATGGGCCAGTTCTCCACCACCACTACCACAGGTAGGAGAGGAAGGAGGAGGAGGATAAGGAGATGGAGGAGGAGGAGGAGGAGGAGGAGGAGGAGGAGGAGGAGGAGGAGGAGGAGGTGCAGGAGGTGCAAGAGGAGGAAGAGGAGGAGGAGGAGGAGGAGGAGGAGGAGGAGGAGGAGGAGGAGGAGGAGGAGGAGGAGGAGGAGGAGGAGGAGGAGAAGAGGGAGGAGGACGAGGAGGAGGAGGAGCAGCAGGAGAAGGAGGAGGAGCAGGAGGAGGGTCCGTAGTTGGTCGCAGGCCCGAGGGGCCCTCGGGAGGCGCGTCCGGCTCCTCGGCCTCGGGGTCCGGCGGCCCGCTGGGCTGAGAGCCCGCGGCTGCGGCGGGGGCGGCCAGGTCCGAGACCCGGCTCGCCCAGCCCAGGCTGAAGATCTGGTGCAGCATCGCGCCGGTGCCCGCGGCCACGTAGTGCGCGGCCCGGACGGTGTACAGCCGAGGAAGAAACAACATCCGAAGCGGAAGCTTTTGGCGCTCCGCGCGGACTTCTTGGATGCGCGCTGGGCCCCCCCCCCCGGCGGCGCCTCCGGCGCCGCACCTGGCGCGCTCCGCGCGCTGGGATCACATTGTCCGTTCTGGCCAGGTCGACCAACTAGCTCCACCCCGCGCCCGAATTCCTCTAGCTCATCTCGTCGAAGAGCTCTACGAGGTAAGCTCTACGAGAAATTTCTGAGGGGGGTCCAGCGCAGATCCAGGAAGTCCGCGCGGAGCGCCAACAGTTTGTGCCTGTGGCGTTTTTTTCTTCTTCGAGAGAGGGTGTCCTGCAGCTGCCGCCGCACCTCCTGCTGGCCCTCGTCGTCCTCGCTGGTCTGCAGCCGCCTGGCCAGCCCCTCCACGGCCCGCAGCATCGTCGCGACCTCTCGGGGCGAACGCAGAGAGACTGCTGCCGCTGCTCCCTGGGCCTCTCCTGGGGTTCGCTCTGGCCAGCACTTCGAGAGGCGGGTCCCGCCATGGCCACGAGGGCCTCCCAGGATGCTCGGGGGCAGCGGCGTCGGCGCCACTTCCCCCCCGAACCTCGCGCTGGAAGAGCCCGAGAGCCCGTGCGAACGCCTCGTGCCCCTGCAGCGGGGCACGGCGCGAGCACGTGCCAGGGCTGCTCGCGCCGTGCGCCGAGTCCGGCGGCTGCGGCTGCGGCTCCCCGGCGGGCAGGGGGTCCTGGTGCCCATGACGCCTCTGTGGAAGCTCCTCCTCCTCCTCCTCCTCCTCCTCCTCCTTCCGTAGCCATTTTGGCTCAATACTCTTGCATGTGAGGGCTCCGCGCCCTTGTGCCAAAGTGGAAGCTGCTAGTCCGCAGCAGTGCCAGGGCGTTTACGCTCGACAGATTCTTGCCGGCACCCCAGGGGCTCTCTGGCGGCCCAACTGCCTACCCACGGCGCAGCCATGGTGCCGAGCCCGTGGAACCCCGAGGCCAAAGCTGATTGGATGTGTAAGTTCTGCACGTTTCGTCGGACTGGTCTCCCTCTTATCAACTACGGCAGTAATGAGAAGTGCTTCAAGTGCAAGCTGCACAAAGGTGTCTGTTTCAAACAGGTTGTGCCCGCAGATGTCCCAAGTCGCAGCACCAAGCGCAAGCCTCCTGGTGGTGAGCCGTCTTCAGCAGCCATGGCCAAGCTGGAGAAGCGCTTACAGTCCCTCGAGGCCGAGAACGAGAACCAGCGATTACGAGCGCCACAAGATGGCGGCCCTGCCGCCACTGAGTCTTCTGAGTCCGATGAGCTACGCGAAGAGATTGACGGTCTGGTCAAACATGTGCAACGGCTGGAATCAATCAAGTTACCTTGGGCGGCACCGCCGCTTCAAGTTGCTCGTAACCAGCTTGAGGCGTCGCGTCGCAAGCTATATGATAATAAGCCCTTACCAGCGAAGCTTACGGCGCTTTCAAGAAGAGCTGAGCAGGCACGTCAACGCTTGCAGAAGGGGGAGCAAGACAAGGTTGAGGCGGACAAGGCCTTGGCCAAAGCTCAGCTTGCGGTTTCGGCGGCCGACAGTGCGGTGGCCGAGCGTCAGAAGGCAGCTGAGGATCTGGAAGATGAGGTCCGCCAGCTGTCATCGCAGCCGCAGCCGATGGCGATGGACCTCAGGGGACCCGAGATCAACATCGGCGAGGAGAAGTTGCTGGCCTGCCTGGGCGCCATGGAGGGCGTCGCGGATGCCAGCAAGTTGGCGCCCAAGCTGGCTGAGGTGCTCAAGTCTCGTGCTGCAGAATTCATCGTCGAGCCGCCCGAGAAGAGGCCCAAGCTGCAGGAGCAGCCACCGCCTGCATCTCAGGCGCAGGGATCTCGCCCACAGACTGAGGAATTGAAGCACCAAGACATCGACGTGGAACAGCTGCGCCAGGATGTGGCCAACTTCGTGGAGCCGAACGCGGAGGAGCACATCTTGCGAGAGAAGACCAAGCAGCTGGCAGCAGGCGGCTACAGGGCATCTAGTCTTTCGATTTCGTACATATTGCCCCCGCATGCTGGATGGCGGCATGATCAGGGGGGGGGGGGGGGGGGGGCAACACTTTCGTCAACTACCTCATTCGAAACTCAATGTCAGGATCACAGCCTCATAGCGATCGGTCCTCATCTCGCGCCTGCAAGTTTGGTGGTGCAGCTTCTCCTGATAATTTAAAATTCAAGTTGTGTGACTACCGCCAGAAGGCCATCGAGACCGAGAGCACAGTTGCCCCTTCTTCCATTGGAGTGCTTGGTGATGAATCGTCTGCACCGTGGTCGCCGCCGGCTACGAGTTCGTCTCATGATGCCGCGAAGGCACTTCGTTGGGCAGCTGGCTATGAGGCCCCTTGTACCAACACGCACCAGTCAGATTTCACGCTTGTGACCTACAACGGAAATACGTGGTCTACGGTTCAGATTTTTTTGGAGTGGCTGGTTTTTGATCAGCATTTGCAGCCAGACGTGCTACACGTGCAAGAGCATCGCCTCCGCGGAGGCGACCAATTAAAGAGCGCTCAGAGTTGGCCACATGCTCGAGGGTATCGGCTTCTTGCCAATAGCTGCCAAATCACTGGAAGCACGGCGACTTCTACCTCGAGCGGCGTGGGAGTGCTGAGCCTGGACAACTTGCCGAGCGCCCCCTACTCGCCGAATGGGGAGTACACTAAATCGCGCATGTTTTTATTAGTATTATTATTATTATTAATATTTTTTTCCAGAGGACGGTGATCGGCAGCATGCAGATACTATTCGCGTCTGCGCACGGCATCGCCAGTGTCGGCCAGTCAGGGAACCTCGAGCTCTTCGCCTCCATGATCCAGATTCTGCGCGAGTCGTGCTTACCCTTCATTGTTGCTGGAGACTGGAATGTGGAGTCTGAGTGTTTCGGTCGTGACACGTTTCTGAGAGCTGGTCTTCTGGGCCTCCTGCATGCTGAGATCGTCCATGGAGGGCGACCTACCTGCACAGACTCGCACTACGACTACTTCATCGTAAGCGACACCCTACTCCCCTTCATCAGGAGCGTTGGTGTGATCGACGATACGCCTGCGAGTCCACACAGGGCCGTGGTGCCGAGGCTTGCCGGGCTAGGCGGTGCGAACTTTGTAAACCGTCGAGCGCAGCAGGAGAAGTTGTTAATGCCCTCCTCAGGGCAACCGTTTGTGCCTGGTGATGCTTCGTCCTGGCCAGGCTTTGAGTTGGATGACAACGAATATCTTGACAGCCTCGCTCGCAGGTGGTACTCTTCGGCCGAGCTGTACTTAAGCCTGTGGTGCGCCATTCCCGTCGCCGAGAGACCGAGGGCGCGAGCCTCCGTAGGAAAGCAAGCCCCACCACCCAGCGCTGGCTCTCCGTCAGGCGTCTCACCATGCAATGGCTGAGAGCGGAGGACGAAGACTCCGAGCCCCAGACAGCTCAGCAGGCCAATGCATTGCGAATGGTGTCTGAATATTCACGGGTTTGGGATGGTTTGGAGTAGGAAGGGGAGGCTGGCGTCTCTGCTAATTCGCCTGGTGGTTTTTCGGCAGGATTGAAGGATCCTGACAAGAGGGCCCAGGTCTGCAAATGTCTCCAGGATCAGGCGCGTTCGCACACTGCAGCTGATGCAGCCGCCGCCAAACAGAGCTGGAAAGACTATTCGGAGGTGGCGTTTGCCAACGGGGCCAGCCTAGCCCATCGTTTTTTCGAAGGGCCCTAAAGGGGCCACTGCCGCTGACCTTGCCCAGGGGCTGCCCGTGGTTGGTCACGAAGCTCTGCAGGAAATGCTGAAAGAGTGGTCTAGTCTTTGGGTCGTTCCAGCCAGGCCTGATGAGCCCCACCCCTTGGATTGGGATGTATCCGAAGCCGATCGACGACATCAGTTTGCACTCGGTCGGGGGGCCGCAGACGGTTGCTCGGGAGCTCAGTTTCGCTGTCAAGGAGACGGTGGGCCTGCTTCAGGCCCGAGGGCTGCCGTTGTCTTGGGATAAGATGGTTTTCTGTGCAGCGACGCTGAGACGTTCAGCCTGATTGAGGATGAGGTTGCCGATTTATGGCCAGCTGGAGTTCCATTCCCAGGTCGGGGTAGGTGCCATCGAGATCTCGGGGGGGACGCTGTTGATGGGCGTTGCAAGCGAATAGGCACTCAGCTCACGCGTATACGAGATGCTATGGCTAAAGGCGATCGGCTGGCGGCTCTTAAAAGTCTTGGAAGGCAGCGCTCAGCAGTGCACCGTTCCGGGGTCCTTTCTAAGGCTCTATGGGGATGCTCTATCGCGGGGGTGCCCGATAGCAGGATCCAGCAGCTCAGGGTGTCCTTCCTTAACGCGGGTGCTCGGTTCAAGCCTGGTGCCTCAGTGGGCTTCTCTCTTATGTGTGCGGAGAATGGCTGGCACAACAATCCTTTGGTTATCGCGGCTTCCGATGCCATTCACGCGTACCTTGTGATCATGTCCACTGGGACGATTGCCACATCTGTGGTATCTGCACTCATGGTCTCGGTGCTTCCTCTGTTGGACGATCCCCGAGTATTGCTGAAATGCAGGAACCCCATTGCAGCGCTGATGATCAGCTTGCACAGGATCTGTTGAAAGTTGCTGGACCCTTTCACTCTTTTAGACGATGAAGGTATCTCTTGGGACCTCAAACTCTACTCTGCTAGTTGGATTGCTCATGCTGTCAAGCTTGGCGTTCGACGTCAGATCGATCGCGATGCTCTCACTACCTTGCAGGGGGCAGGCACCACGAGGACGGGGCCGATAGCCTGGCAACCGATCTCCGAGTCGCTGCACGGGAAGCGGCTTGCACCTCACGAGCGCCGTTCGCTCAGAGGTGTGACCACGGGAGGTCACTGGACGCAGGTTCGGATTGCTCGAGCCTTTGCTGGTCACTCCTCGCTCTGCACAAGATGCCAGGCGGCGCCTGGCACGCTGTTTCATCGCTTCTTCGTGCGCGACGCCTTCGCTGCTCAGCGCCAGTTGCTTGCCCTTCTGAAGTCCAAAAGGCAGCGCAGAGGATGCGGAGCGAGCCTGAGGACAAGCACGATCGTTTTGCTCGTTGTCTGCTCCCTCGCCCAGACCAAACGTTTCACGGCGCCGGCCGCTCCAGCCAGTATGATATGATTGATGTAGATATCAGAAGGGTGACGTCTGTGAATGGAGACTACGTGTTCGTGGACGGCAGTGCTTTCTCGGTCCGAGTGCCTGAATTACGATCAGCAGGTTGGGCAGTCACGGTCTACGACTTCGACAGGCGACGAGTGGCCAGGTACCACGGTGCGGTGCCGCGCCGTGAAGGGCAAAGCCACGTGGCTCGCGACGGTGAAGACTACGCGCTCTTGAAAGCAAGCGAGCGCGTCATGGGATCTTACTCAGCCAAGTCTGATTGCAAGGGCTCAGTTGGCTGTTGTCACCGCTTGGCGGCGGCTTGCGGCCCTGGCCATTGGAGAGCGCACCTGTGGAAACGGACGGCGTTGAATGATGATTTCTGCAGGGCGCCTGTGTCTCATGTCAAGGCGCACACCAGCATGGCGGACGCCAGGGAAGGTGTGATCAGCCAGTTCGATCGAGCCTGCAATGCTGAGACCGATGAGTTGGCCAAAACTGGAGATTCCTTTCACGCGGCCTCGGACGTGCAGGAAATATTCGTTCGTGGCGCCATGCGCCTTCATAAGATGCTGCTGTGCTACATCGCCAAGTTCGAGGTGTGGTTCTATGAGCAGGCTGAGGAGTTTCTAGATGTTGCTTTTCCCGAACCTGAAGAGGACAGCCTGGCCACGCCTCAGCAGGAGGCGGCGGCGAGAGAGCCTTTCTTGCCATGGCCTTGGTTGGTCCAGAAGCACGCTCTCCTGGAGTACCCTGTTATCGGTCACGACCGCTCGTTGGTATTCGGCACCAGTTGTTGCAAGTATTCTGACACTGGAGGTCTCAACCACCGAGGGCTGGATAAGGTCTGTTGTGGCAGAGAAGGAGGCAGTGGCAAGATCGTCGAACATACTCGGCATTTTGACCATCTTCGGCATCCCCAGTCGCTGCACAAAGATATCTCCCTATTGTTTGCTCGGCGGCCGTCTGCCAAAGTCCGAGCCGTGCTGTGCAAGTCAAAAGGTTGGAGGGGCCCGCTCAGCGGTGCGCCTGGGGTCGACTGCAGACCGAAAGGCAAAGTGCGTGCTGAACCCCAGCGTTATGTGGGCACGACTGCGTTATGTGGTCTTTCATACCCTGAAGCTTTGGAATTAGGAGCTCCGCATGAATCTGACAACGATGACGATGTGGACCCAGATATGGTCTAGTCTGATGGCCCCCCACCAGATTCCTGCCAGCCGGTGGGCCTTTGGCAGGCAAATCGACCTGCCAGCTCTTGCGCATTTTGCTGAGACGTGTTGGTGGGCGGTTGGTGGGCCAGTCTGATTTTCTCGAGCCTTCTGAGCCTGACGAGCTACGCGAAGAGATTGATGGTCTGGCCAAGCATGTGCTGTGGCTGGAATCAATCAAGTTACCTTGGGCGGCACAGCCGCTTCAAGTTGCTCGTGACCAGCTGTCATTATTTACGAGTGCGGTGCTTGGTCTGTTGTGGTGTTTGACCCTGGACCTGGACGGCCTGCACTCGAATTTGTTTTGCTTTTCCGTCGCCCTTGTCAACGGCGGGCGGATCGGCCTCCTGCTGTGGATGCCGCTCCTTGTGTGGTTCAGCACCGTGCTGGACTACGGGCCCCGCGTCCGCTCGCTGGGCCTCGAGGGCTTTTGCCTCGAGTGGGTGAGCACGTGCCTCGCGCAATCTCCGTGCTGCCTGGCGGGCGCGCCGTCCGCTTCCTCTTGGGCCTGCTGGTGCTGGTCCCGCGACCTTGGCGGCTGCAAGGCGGCTCTGGGCCCTGGTGCTTGCAGCAGGCTGAGGTCTCGGGGCTGGCATCTGCGGGCCCTCGGCCCGCGGCCCGTCCAACCGCCTCTCGGCTTCTGCTCGCTCGCTCGCTCCTCCTCCTCCTTCTCCCACCCCTCCTCCTCCTCTTCCTCTTCCATTTTCTCCTCCTCCTCCTCCTCCTCCTCCTCCTCCTTTTCCTTTTCCTCCTCCTCCTCCTCCTCGTCCTCCTCCTGTTCCTCCTTTTCCTACTCCTCCTCCACCTCCTCCTCCTCTTCCTCCTCGTTGTCCTCCTCCTCCTTTTCCCCCTCCTCTTCCTCCTCCTCCTCCTCCTCCTCCTCTTCCTCCTCCTCCTCCTCCTCCTCCTCCTCCTCACCCTCCTCGTCTTGCTGCTTTTCCTCCTTCTCCCACTCCTCCTCTACCTCCTCCTCTTCCTCCTCCATTCCCATATCTCCTCCTCCTCCTCCTCCTCTTCATCCTCCTCCTCCTCCTTTTCCTTTTCCTCCTCCTCCTCCATCTCCTCTTCCTCTTCCTCCTGTTCCTCCTCGTTGTCCTCCTCCTCCTTTTCCTCCTCCTCCTCCACAACCACCAGCGCGAGAAGCCAAGGGGGGTCCTCCTGGTGGCGTGGTCTCCCCATCCCACCCGGGGCATCCTCTCTCTCTCCCTCTCTCTATCTTTCTCCAGCTCGGAAAGGCATCGTGGACCTCCTCGTTGGAGACCGCACCCTTGATGGCAGCGAACGGGACAGCATCTGCAGAAATACTACACGTGGGGCGGACAAAAGACATGAAGCAGAAAGGTGGATCAAGTAGGTTGGGCCCAGGCACTTCCAAACAACAACAACACATACATGATCTTACCTTTTTGGCGCGGAGAACATCTGGCACTATCTGGACGGGGTTATAAAACTTACAAGCAGCTGGGGCGTGTCGAAGTCTTCTGAACGGCACGTCATGACAACCCTTGCAGAGTATGGGCGAAGCGAAACAGGGATGTGAGAACGAATTGTTCGAAAAGGAAGGTGCGTTGTTGCTTGAGCTCCAGCGGCTGCGGAGGAGCACCGCCATGAGCGAAGCCTGCGAACGACACCCAAACAGACTCTTTCTTCACATCCCGCGCGTGCACTAACATGATGTGACCGTTGCTTCTCACGCGGAAGACATCTGTTACTACCTGGCCGGATTTTTAACACACAACCGGGACGTGACGAAGCCTTCTGGACGGCACGTCGTGACAATCCCACGCTCCCGACTTGAAAGGTTCACATGAGCGGGGGCGGAGCAGCAGCAGCAGAAGGGAAGGGAGCGAGAAAAGAGAAGGCACATCAAATGGCACTGGGCCTCACAGGACCACCGGCATTATATGAGCAGGCGGCGTGTTTGGCAAACGAGAGCCGTAGCCTTGACATCGACCTGCCCGTGCACAACAGAGTGCATCACGGCCGTTTCCACGAGGGCGACCGCGCCGAGCAACACCACCTCCTCGTCGATCGACCCTCCACCGTCCCACGGCGCCTCGGGTGATACCGAAACGCGTGAGGTCGGAGGCGACGCGGCCTCTGCACTTGCAGGCCCGACGGGCGCTGGTATCGGCGGCCCCGCGGGCACCACTACACACTGGTAGTCGCCGATGACGTCCCTCGGAGTGTGGCCGCAGTATCTCTCGATGAACGAGAAGTTGAGAGCAGGCCCAGCCGTGCGCATTGACTCCGCGGCGGCCAGCCAACCAGAGAATGCCAGCGGCGGCGAGGGCGCATTCGCCGCGCGCGCGGCCAGCGCACCGCGTGCCGCCGCAGCCGCCCGCCGCCCCAGCCAGCCGCACCAGCACCACTGCACCACTCCCGCAGCGAGGGCTCGTGCAGCGTCCGCCCGCCTCACGGCCTCGGCCGCGTGCCGCAAGTTCCTGCGACGCCTCCCAGCGCGCCGCCCGCTTGCCCTGGCCCTGCGTGAGCTGCCAGTCGTCGCCATCCTTGAAACTCTTGCGCTCCTGGTCTGAGTGGCGCACGACCTCCAGCTGCCGCTCCTGCAACTGGTTCTGGGCCTCCGCGTTGCCCGCCGTCCTCGTGCCCCTCACGGCCTTCGGCAGCCGATCAACGGCCCCGCGCCGCGCACCATGTGCGCCGTCCACGCTGGGCACGACCGCCACCTGCACGTCCTCCGCGATGCCATCCTCGGGCATCACCAGCTCCTCGCCCCCGCTACCGTGGACGTCGCTCGCGAGCTCCTGGCTCGGCTGCACTGTTTCCCGTAATTAGCGCACGGGCAGCTCCTTGCCCTGCTGGGCCCCGGTCGCGTCGTCCAGGCTCCCCGAGGTGGCGCCCTTGAGGGCAGCATCCACCCGTTGGTGCACCACCACTCCGATGACCGCCGGCGGCACCCAGACAGCCTCGCCGCAGCAGCGCCAGTAGCCTCCGCCAGGGAGGCCCGCCGCCATCGCCATGCCGCCGCCCTTCACCACGAGCTCCGACACCGGCCCGCCATCGCGCCCTGCGGTAAGCGCGAGTCCCACCCCGAGCAACCCATCCTGGGCCCTCGAGCTGGTATTTGAGCCAAAACGGCTTAAGCCAACCACGACGACGACGACGACGACGACGACGACGACGACGACGACGACGACGACGACGACGACGACGACGACGACGACGACGAACCGACGAACCACCCCCCACACACACACAGGGGGAGGGCGGGAGGTTCACGGGCACCCTCCACCACGCCACGACCACAGAGTCACGACCACAGGGGGGCGGGCGTACCCACCCATCCCGCGGGGGGAGGGGGGCTCGATCCCATATGCATTGGGAGAGAGGGGAGGGAGGGGGGGGGGAGAACCCTGGACCACATATGCCGTCTCCTCCTGGTTTCGCAGGGCGCCTGTCCCCACCTGGGAGGCTGGGCTTAAGTGGGGCTTGTGGGTGCCCTGGCCGCCCACTGGGCTGGCGCGCCCTCCCCCCGGAGCCTCGCCGCCCAGGACAGCACGGCCAGGTGCGAGCCGAGCTCCCGCAGGTGCTGCCCCAGCGCGGCGTACAGCTCCGCCTGGAACGGCTCGCGCCAGAACGTCGGCTCGGCGTCGGCGAACGGCACGACCTCGCAGAGGGCCTCGACCTCCTCCCAGAAGCGCGCGCTCTGCGCACCCTCGCCTCGGCACAGCCAGACAATCAAGGGTCCGTACGAGAACGGCGCTCGTGCACCGTACTATGCTCGGACTCCCTCGAGACCCCGCTCCAGCGCAGTACGGCACATCTGTTTCGGCCTCGGGGGCCGAACGCTTATGTGCCGTACCATTCCCGAGTCGAAGCTCGAGGACGCCTTGGGCGATGCCAACGCAGTACGGAGCATAGCTACCAGATCGTCCGCGGGTGAGGGAAGCGGGCCCCGAACTCGGGAGAGAAGCACGGACCACCACCACCACCACCACCACCACCACCACCACCAGAGAACCCATCAGTCGGGGGCCGATCCCTGGGCTGCGCCACGCCCGAGCGCCACCCCAACACCAGACGACGCTCGGGCGCGCCACCGCCCAGGGGCCAGTCCCTCCTCGACGGGCTCTCGGTGGCTGTGGTCGCTGTTCCTCCTCTGACGACAGGTGCCTCCTAGGTGGGGTCCGACTAGATGGGGTCGGAGAACCTCGCCGCATCGCCGACGCATCGGCGATGTGTCGCCGCTGCGTCGGCGATGCGTCGGCCATGCACTGCCGACGTCGGCGATGCATCGGCGACGTCGGCGTGGAGAAATTTGGGCCCCACGTCGCGCCGCACAGCCGATGCATCGGCGATGCGGCGGCGATGCGGCGCGATCCTCCGACCCCTATCTACTCCGACCCCATCTGGGAGGCCTAGGGAGGAACCCGCGCAGCGCGGCGTCCTGTCAAAATGCGGGGCCGAGCTCGGGAGAGCCTGGCAGTTGCCACATGCCCAGGGGCACGCCCAGGAACGGGCCCCGAGGGCAACGGGACTTGACTCCCGGGGCCTCTCCCAGGAGAGGAACTTGTCATCCGCCTGAAGAATTCTGTCTTTGCCGGACATGTACGTACACATATATGTTTACATATATATAGTTATAGGCATATGTATCTATATATGGCTTCTCAAGCGGCATGGGCATCAACCACTGCGCATGTGTGTCCATGCCGTGTCAAACGGCATGGGCACAACAACTTTCAGGAGCTCGCGGGATTTTCCGGATCGGCGCTGGGCCCGCCGCCCTGGCGCGCCTGAAGGCGGCGCCGGAGGCGCCGCCAGTGGGTCCCAGCCTCGAGCCGAGGAGATCCGCGCGGAGCCCCGAGTCGTTCTGTTGACAGTCCTCGGAGCCCGTGGAGGGCCCCGAGGGCCCTCAACAAAGGCGAGAAGCCTCATCACCCGCTTCCCTCGGGACCCGTTAGCTTCATGTCCGATCGCCCTCCGTGCCGATGCTGGCCAAGAAGCCCCTCGCGCGCCTCAGCACGCGCTCCAGCCGCTTGCGCGCCTCGCCGGCGGCGCTGGAGCCGAGGGCCAGGTCCACGACGGTAAGGACGGAGACCCCGATCACGGTCGAGATGATGGTTGTGAGGAGGCCTCGGGTCAAATGCCCGACTCTGGACGCCCTGAGTCCAAAAATGCTGACGTCTCACCTGACTTCCGCCGCCTTCCGCCGAGCTTCCGCCTGCCTCCGCCGGGCTTCCACTACGCGCCGCTTTGCGTCCGCCGCCTTCTGCCGGCCTTCAGCCGCCTTCCGCATAAAGGCGACGACACGCCGAGGGCAGCGACCCTTCCTGAAACGCGCTGCATGCGCAAGACCTTCTGGGGCAACCCAGCTGCGGCCCCCCTCCTTCTCCTCCTCCTCCTCCTTCTTCTCCTGCTCCTCCTCCTGCTCCTCCTCCTCCTCCTCCTTCTACTGATAAGTGTCCCCGTCCTCATCCTGCTCCTCGTCGGCATCGTCCTGCTCGTCTTTCGATCCCCAATGGTCTCGAGAAGGCCTGGGGTCAGCTCTGCGAAGTTCGGCTTTTCATCTGGCCTGAACATGCCATTGGCAGGGATCATGCTGCTCGCGGCGAAGGCTGCTGTAAGACAGCACACGTAGCCGATGCCTTTGTCCGCATGCAAATACAAGAAGAAATTCACGACGACAACAGAAAACATACATATTGCAAAACCAGATGCCTTTCCAACCTCCTCGACTGCGAAGTACAGCTGCAAGGACGTACCAATAACCTTGCCGAGTACCACGCCAGACACCCTGCGGATCGTGACTGGCATGTTTGAGCCCGTGTAGGTGTAGGCGATCACCGCTATCGTGTTAGCGGGGTAGTACGAGTACGCCGGGAGGACGTTCCAAATGCCGCGCCACCCCACAACGAACCCGATGAAGAGGGACAGCGTGGTGCGCAGAACGAACCGCGGATGCTGCACGGAGAAGCCTCCCCCGCGGGCGACGCCGAAGTGGCTCCGCACAGTCCGAAGAATCTGGAGGGTCCGGGAGCAGCCGTGGTCGGACTCCCGCCGGGCTGCGTCTCGCCACGGGGCGTCCTTGACCGCCTCGAGGGTGTCCTCTGGAGGCAAAGCGAGAGGTCGTCACTCGGCTACACGCAATAGTGACCCTGGGCAAGAGTGACCTTTAGTGCGCAGATTAGGGGGGCGCAAGGTGGCCAAATCCAGGCGCGCGAGCAGCCCCTATCGCATCGCGCTGAGCGATCGGGGGGGCCCGGTGAGCCCGCAGCAAAAGTCACTCGGGCGAAGGGGCACTCTTACGTGTAGTCGAGTCACGGAAGCGGCCAGCCTGCCAGGGGCCGGCCAGGCCGCCCCTGCTGTCCGCAACGATCCCGGACACGATGAAGAGGAAGGCCGAGACCTGCCCAGGCGATGCCAAGGGGGGCCACCACTAAGGGGGCCGCCACCACCTCCAGAAAACTGACCCCTGGGACGTGGTCGCGTCGCGTTGATTATCATTCTTACTATTGCAGGGGACGTGGTCGCGTCGCCTTTCACGCCTCAATTTCGAATCAGGTGTTTGTCGCGGACCCTCCTGGACCTCCCAGGGCTCCCGAAGTCACTCAAAAACCTCCAGAACCTCCTGGACCCTCGGGCCTGCCTCCTCAGCCCTCGATTTCCAGGATGTGGTGGTCACCGCGCTAAATAACATCGGGCCTGACAAGAGGGGGGAGTCAGCAAAGGCGGGGGTCGGTGAATCAGCTCCCAGTCGCCGCTTCTCCTGGCGCCTCCCGGCGCCGTAGGGGCCAACGCATCGAAGAAAAACGCCCTGGTGGCGGAGCGGAAGCTGGCTTCGTGCAGCTGCTTCCTTGATCCCTTCCCCCGCCCCCTGAGGAGCAGGAGGAGGAGGAGGAGGAGGAGGAGGAGGAGGAGGAGGAGGAGGAGGAGGAGGAGGAGGAGGAGGAGGAGGAGGAGGGGGAGGAGGGGGGGAGGTGGGGAGGAGGAGGAGGAGGAGGAGAGAGGAGGAGGAGATGGAGGAGGAGGAGGAGGAGGAGGAGGTGAGGAGGAGGAGGAGGAGGAGGAGGAGAGGTTCGGAGAGATTCCCCGGGCTCCGCAGATCCGGGCCTCCGACAATCCGGGCACCCCCCGCAGCGCCCTCTCGGCGGGGAGAGCGGCGAGAAGGCGAGCGCTGCCAGGGCGCTCGTGGCCCCTCGGCCCCTCGACCTGCGGGCCGCAGCCCCTGGCCCAGACCCGGGGGGGGGGAGGGGGGGGGCCGGAAGCAAGCCTGCGAGGGACGCGCTGGGCCACCTTCGCGCTGCCAGTGCGGCAGGCGCGTGCAAGGCAGCGGGGAGGAGCGGGAGGAGGAGGAGGAGGAGGAGGAGGAGGAGGAGGAGGAGGAGGAGGAGGGCCAGTGCAAACCCAAGAGTCGTCAACGATGGGGTCATCTCCACTGAGGCAACTGCCCCGTTGGGGGGCAACCTTGTGCACATCTTGAAGCGTGCCAAAACACCAGTCTCAGGACTTCAACGCCACGAGATAATCTGACTTTTACGTATTGGCGATCCTGAATCGTCCCAGAACACCATCCCTGGGACTTCAACACCACGAATCAACGTTACTGTTGCGCCCTGACAATGCTGAAGCGCTCCAAAACACCATTTCTGGTACGTTTACCATGAGAAACCGTGAAACTCTTGCACATGCTTTATTTGCGCGGCGCTCAGGCGAGAACCAATTTGTGATAAAGAGCCGCCAATCAATCCGCGAAGCTCTCTCAATTTCAAAAAACAAAGGCGCTAAGGAGAGAACAAAATGTTAAAAACGAATCGCCCTCAATCCGTGAATATATTGCAATTCTTTACACGAGCGCGCGTGGCGCTAAGGCGAGAGCCTCATGTTGACACGAACCGCCCTCAATCCGTGAAAACTTGGCAAATGTTTAAAGCGAGCGTGCGCGGCGCTAAGGCGAGAGCCACATGTTGACCACGGACCGCCCTCAATGGATCAGCGAAAGCCTTGCAAATCTTTGGAAACGAATGTGCGCGGCGCTACAGGCAAGAACCACATTTTGAAAACCATCCGCCCTCAACCCGTGAAGCTCTTGCACATTTTTAGCACGAATGTGCACGGCGCTGCAGGCGAAAGACACATTTTGAAAACCACCCGCCCTCAATCCGTGAAGTTCTTGCAAAGTTTGAAAACGAATGTGCGCGGCGCTACAGGCGAGAGCCACATGATGAAGACCACCCGCACTCCATCAGGGTCAGAAATGGTGAGGCTACCCCAGGCGAACCGCCCAGCCCACCCTAAAAACTGGCCTCGGGGTGCGGCAGAGAGAAATTATTTTGAAGGGAAACTATTTCTTCTAATTAGAAGGAGAAGCTTCCCTTCTGGAAATAAACCTTTTCCTTCTGATTACAACCTTTTCCTCCTCATCCTCCTCCATCTCCTCCTCCTCCATTCCTTTAGGGCATGGATGGAGGAGGAGGAACAGGAGGAGGAGGAGGAGGAGGAGGAGGAGGAGGAGATGGAGTGGACTTATTCCCCAATCAGAGCTTGCCTCTGTAGTGGTCCTAGCGGATTCATGTGGTCAGGTTAGCTGTGGCACCGATTTCGGCGGCACGCCCAGGTGCCCGGGTGCCCGTGTGCCCGGTTGCCCAGTTGCCCTGGTGGGTGCCCAGTTGCCCGCGTGCCCGGGTGCCCAGGTGCCCAGGTGCCCGGGTGCCCGGTAGCCCTATAGCCCTGTACAGCCTTATAGCCTTATAGCCTTATAGCCCCATTACAGCCCTTTAGCCCAATATAGCCTCATAGCCCTATAGCCCTAGTAGCCATATAGCGCCATGACCCTATAGCCCATATAGCCCTAGTAGCCCTATAGCCCCATAGACCTATTATAGCCCTATAGCCATATAGCCCTATCGCCCAATAGCCCTAGAGCCCTATAGCCCCATAGCCCCAGAGCCTTATAGCCCTACAGCCGTATAGCCCTATAGCCACATAGCCCTATAGCCCTAAAAAGATGATGATTGGCGATTTTCTCCGGTATCATCCATGGGAGAAGGAATGGAGGAGTTTGCGGCAGAGCCGCTGCGGGAAGGGCCAGGCTCCTCCTCCTCCCCCGCCCAGCAGGAGGCCAGGCCCAGCCTCCAGAGGCTCGAGGCGCGCGGCAACCGCCATCCCCGAGAGGAGCAGCCGTGTCGCTGCCGCTGCTCGGCTGAGCTCTGAACGAACGTCTGTCTGACGCCTGCGTGATCATCACCCTTTGGCCAAAACGCTAGAAACGCAAGGATGAGGATGAGGATGAGGAGGAGGAGGAGGAGGAGGAGGAGGAGAAGGAGGAGGAGGAGGAGGAGGAGGGAGGAGGGAGGATGAGGAGGGGGAGGTGGGCAAGCTAGGTGCGCTCGCGTCATATCTGACATCCTACCTCTCCCTCCCATCCGTTACCATGGCGTAGATCCCCTCTCTACTCGCACAGTCGGATGTCGAGCAGGGCAATGATCCCGAAAGGGTACGCGATGCATTGTAGAGCACGGCATGGCATGGCGTAGAAGAGCACCGCAAAGCGTAGTATCAACCTAGCATTGCATTGCATGCCGTGGCATGGCACGGGAAATGACGCCAGCGCTGCAGCGGGAGCACGATTCGGAACGAGCGGAAGCGCGGAAATGAGGCCATCGCTGCAGCGGGAGCACGATTCGGAACGAGCGGCAGCACGGAAATAAGGCCAGTGCTGCAGCGGGAGCACGATTCGGAACGAGCGGGGCCCGAAAATGAGGCCGGCGCCTCAGCGAGAGCAGCATTTTGGAAAAAATGCAAGCGAAAATCTAACTCCGGGGAATCCTGTGTAAAAAAACAATACGCGGGGGGGGGGCTGATACTTTCAAACCGTCATCAGGGGAAGAGGGAGAGTAGTATTCATATTGAGTAATTGTGGAGAGAGGAGAGACGACAGGAGGCGCGTGTCCCCTCGAGCCTCGAGCCTCGTCCGACCCGAGGTTGGTGCCCCTCCCTCGGCTCTGCCCGATGACCTGCTCCGAGAGCTGCCGTGCCCCCGCCGCGGAGCCTCGGGGGTGCAGAAGCAGCGTCGAACGAGTACCGCCTCTCAGGGCCCGACACGTGAAAATTCTCCAGTCTCGGTGCTTCCGTGGGACTCGAAACTCTTTCTGGTGATCAAGGCTAAGAGTATGTTGGAACATCAGAAAGCTCGGGACCACCCGATCTCTTCAATAGGGGGCCCCCGGAAGCCCTGACCCCTTTCCCAGGGCCAGCTCTTCATCCTGAGAATATTTGCTGTTGACGGTCCCAGGGCCCGGTCCCAGGGCCCCCAGAGGCTGAAGACTACGGGAACCCCCAGTCTTGTTTTTTCGATACGTTTGAGGTCTTGGTCATTTGAGCAGGGACCGACCGTCCCGGCATCCCTACCACGAAAGGTTCTTAGAACCCCAAAATGTTCGAAGAACAAAAACAATGTTCTTAGAACATAAGCCCGATGTGATGAAACAAGACAGACTCCGCCAGAAATGTTCTAAGAGCATGTCGTGGAAGCCACAAAAGGTTCCTAGAACAGTGTTTGGTGGGGCTATAGGCGAGCCAGGACGCTTCGCCACTGCTTGATCAGGACCCCATCGTGGAACCCCCACGGAGCAGGGCGAGTTGAGACACCGGCAGCGCAAATCGGCCCCAGGACCCCTTCTGGGGATCCGAACGCACCAGGTGTGCGAGCTGCGGCCGGCCGTGGCGACGGGGGCCCCCCTCCCGCACCCGAAGGCCGCCTACCGTTGTCTCTCAGCTCGCCCTCTCCTGACTGCACGGTCGGGAACTTCAGGACGGCGTGCCGCGGCGGCGGCCCCTTGCAGCACGCCGTGCCTTGCTTAAGCGGCGTGCCTGGCAGGCGGATGGCGTCTCGCTCCGGAGAAGCTCGGGACGCGGGCGCTCGGGGACCGGGCCAGAGCTGGCGGAGCGACACGCTCCAGCCGACACGGTGCTCAAGGAAGCTCATCATCTGAGGAACCTGGGCGAGCCTCCCGGAAGCGTCTTGGGACAAACCTGGGCAAATTCCTCGGCTACACGCAGGAGTGACCCTGGGTAAGAGTGGCCTCTGGTGCGCGGCTGTTGGGGGGCCGCGGGGGGACAACAAACGAGCGCGCAAGACGCTACTGTCGCAATCGCGCTCGGCGGCCGGGGGACCCCAATGGGCCCGCACCAGAGGTCACTCCGGCGAAGGGTCACTCTTACGGGTGGTCGAATTTCTCATGTAGGGCAAATTTCCGGAAGTTTCAGCGCCCGGGCTGCCGCCCGCGGGCGCACCGCCCCCGGCCCGCAGCGCCTCCAGCTCGCGGCCGGCGGCCCCGAGGCAGCGCTGCGCCTGGGCCAGCGGCGCGGCGAGGGGATCGGCCTCTGCGCCGGGGGAGCGCGCTCCTCCTCCTCCTCCTCCTCCTCCTCCTCCTCCTCCTCCTCCTCCTCCTCCTCGTCCTCCTCCTGGTCCTCCTCCTCCTCCTCCTCCTCCTCCTCCTCCTCCTCCTCCTCCTCCTCCTCCTCCTCCTCCTCCTCCTCCTCCTCTGTCTGGAGGTCTCAGAAACGCATCCAGGCCCTCCCCCACGTCATCGATCATGCCCCCATGTGTTTATGCATATCCCTCCCCGCCCCCGCCCATCAGCAGCAGCAGCAGCAGCAGCAGCAGAACATCAAGTGGGATTGGGGGGCGCTGGCGGCGGCTTTGCAGACGGGGTATCGAAGAGGTGAGTTTCTGGAGCGACTGGGACAGGTTTGGGAAGAGAGGGGGATCCTGTGCCGCGCGCTCACGACCGACGGCAAGGCGACACGACACGCGGGTGTGGTAGCACAAACGATCCGTGAGGTCGCTCGCGAGTACTTCTCGGCCGAGAGGGCTGTCCCAGATTGGCTCCTGAAGGCTAAAGCTGAACGACGTAGATTGCTTGAGGAACGAGCCACCCTGCGAGACTTCGGCTTCACGATCACGAGCGAACCACTGCGAAACATCGACAAGACGATCACGTCACATGCTCGATGGCAGGAGTGGTGGAGGAGGGAGACTCTGGAGCAGGAGATTCGGGAGGCGTGGGAGGTGCGGGACCAGGCTAGGGTAGGCAAACTCGTTCGTCTCCGAGCTGGTACCAGGATGGGGCCCCTTAAGAGGTGCTATCTCGCCCTCCCGACGAGCCGCCCTAACGCTGCAGACATTCGGAAGGCCCTCCAGAAGCCAGGGGTGGCCCCCCGGACGTGCGACGGCTTGCTCTTCCTGCCACGAGGGGCTCCCGAAGCCCCGACGCTCTTTCCCCAGGAGGGGGTGCCTGACGGTCCCGAGGCCCGGCGAGGGCCCGCGGAGGCCGACAAAAACTCCCTGGGCATCTCCCGTCGCCAGTTGTGCACGACGTGAGCACGTCTGCGCTTCCTCCCCCGGAGCGTCTTCGGCGGCGACATCCGGAACCCTACCCCTGCAAGCCATCGATTCTCCTGATTCGATGGGCGGCGGGGGTGGGGTTCGGCTTTCGCAGCGTGTCCGACGAATCCCGACCCCCCCCCCCGCCGCCCGTCGAGCTGCCTGGATCATGGACTGGTTTGGGTTCGGACCTCGCCGCCCGTCCAGCTCCAGCGGGGCGAGGAGAGCGAGGTCCGAACCCGGCATTGCAGCAGCCTGCGCGCCCTTGCCAGAACGGCCCTCTCGCCCCGACGAGGCCACGGGCGCGCCGCCCCCCCCCCCCAGCCAGTGGAAGCCCAGGCCTCGGAGCCCCAGGCGGCCCCACGCACAGCTGGAGCGATGGGGGAGGGACCGGTAGAATCTGGACGCCCGAAATGGGTACGGAAAGAATGGGTACAATGCCCAACAGCAGTTCCTGTTCACTTTGAACAGGACTCGCTGTCCACGCCGCCGCGGCCTGTGTCCATTCGAGACAGGAGGCCGCCCGCCCAACAGCGGCCGCTGTTGGTTTGGGACAACAGTTATTGTTGGGCACTGTGCCCATTCTCTCCGTACCCATTCTGGGCGTTCAGATAGAAAGCCGTGGGTTGCGCAGCGGCGGGCCTCCGCGCCGGCCGCGCCAGAGGCGCCGCGCTGCAGCGCGTCCTCCGCGGCCGCGGCCAGCAGGTCCCGCGCGGCCGCGCAGGCGGCCGGCAGGGAGGCGACGCGCGCCTCCACGACCTCGGCGTCCTGTACGGCTGCAGGCAGGATGGGAGCCGCGCCTGTGTACACCAAGGTATCTCCCAGTAGCCCAAAGAGCTTAGGAAAATAAATCGTTGGTTAGACTACGCTTATGTTAAGCATGCGCCCCGAGAAACCCCATTGGGCAGGGCCCAACTGGGCCCTGTCCAATGGGGTTTCTCGGGCCGGGCGAAAGGGGGGGACAGCAAAGGGAGGGGGGTTTTGAGAATCAGCGCACGTGGCTGGTTTCCCGGCGCCTCCCGGCGCCGGAGGCGGCCATGTATCGAAGGATGGGCCCCTCGGCGGGGCCGAAACCAGCTGCACGCAGCAGATTTCGTACCCCCCCCTTTCCCGATCCTCCCCTTTCGTCAGGCCCGAGTTTCGGAGAAAGGCAACAAGAACACGTATAGTGTCTGGCACGCTCTCTCTGGGTGGCAGCTGTTGCACAAAATCGCCCGACACGTACCCAGCCCATGCTCCACGCAAGGCGAATATGCTTGTGCAGGTTCCATACAAAAGGACACGTTGCGAGATATGAAGCACTCGGGAACTCTTCGCCTGACAATGTCGGGCCACGCGCGTTGCACACCTGCGCAGGAAAAGGCCATTCAGGACAGCGCCATGCGTTACGTGACGTTTTGGCGCTGTGCGCTCTGGGATGCAACAACACCGCGTGCTAAATGACGCGCCGGCGCCACGCGCCATGTGGCCATGCTCCATTTGGGAGTCCTGCACTCCGCCGTGCCTCCCAGACGCCCACGAACGTGGCGATTGTTGTGCAGCTCGCAACCCCCCAGAAAGCCGCGAGGTCTCAAATGATCTGCGCTGCCACCAGGAGCCCATGCAAATGGTGTGAAAAATGCGCACTTCACCACCCTACGAGCCGCGAGGTCGCAAATAGATCCGCGTGGCCCCCGACTCCGCTGGCCCTCCCAGGAGCCCACGAAAGTGGAGACAATTGCGCAATTCGCAGCCACCCAAGGAACCGCGAGGTCTCGGCTGGGTGCGCGTGCAATTCCTCTGCTGGACCTCCCAAAAGCCCACGAGCCCACGAAAACGGTGCGCAGTTCGCAGCCACCGTCTCGTCTGGATTTGCGCCCTTCTGCTCCGCTGGACCTCCCATGAAACAACGAAGATGGAAACAATTGCGCATTTCGCAGCCACCCGTGCACGGAGCCGCGAGGTCGCAAATGGATCCGCGTGGCCTCCGGCTCCGCTGGACCCCCCAGGAGCCCACGGAAGTGGTGTGACACTAGCGCAGGTCGCAGCCACCCAGGGAGCAGCAAGGTCCTTGCTGCGTCTGCTTACCACCCCACTGGGCTGGACCTCCCAAACACCCGCGAAGAGTGGCGACCGCTGCACACACCGCAGCCCCCAAGGGAACCGCGAGGTCTCGGCAGCGTTCGCGTGGCCCACGACTCCGCTGGTCCTCCGAGGAACCCACGAAAGTGGTGACAGTTGCGCAGTTCGCAGCCACCCAGGGCGCCGCGATGTCCCAACTGGATCCGCATGGCCACCGATTCCGCCGGACCTCCCAGGAGCCCGCGAAAGTGGTGCAGTTGCGCAGTTCGCAGCCAGCCAGGGGGTAGCGAGGTCTCAAATGGATCCGCATGGCCCTCGACTCCGTTGGACCTCCCAGGAGCCCACGAAAGTGGTGACAGTTGCGCAGTTCGCAGGCACCCAGGGGGCAGCGAGGACCCAAGTTGGTCCGCGTGGCCCCCGCTCCGATGGACCTCCCAAAAACCCACGAAGTGGTAACAGTTGCGCAGTTCGCAGCCACCCAGGGAGCCGAGAGGTCCCAAATGGATCCGCATGGCCCCCGACTCCCCTGGACCTCCCAGGAGCCGACGAAACTGGTGACAGTTGCGCAGTTTGCAGCCACCCATGGAGCAGCGAGGTCCCAAATGGATCCGCATGGCCCCCGACTCCGTTGGACCTCCCAGGAGCCAACGAAAGTGGTGACAGGTGCGCAGTTCGCAGCCACCCAGGGAGCCGCGAGGTCTCGTCTGGATGCTCGCAGGAGCCCAGGAAGGTGGCGACAGTTGCGCATTTCGCAACCACGCAGGCCCCACACTAGGACAGGTACGAGCAAGGGAGGCAACGAGGCATGGGGGCAGAGGAGGAGGAGGAGGAGGAGGAGGACGACGAAGAGAAGGGGAGGAGCTGTGTTCCCCCCCACACACGCCTCCTCCTCCAAGCGGCCTTGCGCTCCTCCCCCGTGCGATCTGATGCACTCACACTCCGCACCGACCAACAGCATGCACTCCCACTGCGGCGGAGTGGACGACGGGCTCCCACACTCACGAAGGCAACCAGCCTCCGCGACGATCCTCTCGCTGCTGCGGTAAGTCTGCGAGCTGGAACGGGCAAGGGCGGACCGCCGAAGCCATCCTGCCCAGCCTGCGGATGAGCGAACCCTCGAGGACAGCAGCATACCGTTCCAGGAAGAGTTCCAGCGGCCAGTTGTAGCAACCACACAACTTCTCAGTGTTCTCGTCGACGCTGTCCTCCGGAACGCTATATATCAGGCCACACGATCTCGGACTCGCGGCCCACCTGCTCCGCCTCCTCCACGCTGTCGCCATCCTCGCAGAGCACATGGCCGTCTGATGCCTCCCTGCACCTCCTCAGCCCCGTAGGCGACGTCCTCGTAGAGCACCTGGTCGAAGATGGCCTTCTGCTCCGCTTTCGTCCCGACGCCGCCGGTCCCGCAGGGCACCTGGTCGAAACTGCAGGGCTCCTGCTCCCCCGCCGCCACCGTCCACGTCACGCGCCTGGTCCATGAAGAGAGCCTCCTGCCCTCCACGCCCACGTCGCCCCCGTGCACGCCGAACTCCTGGTCGATCCCCTCGTTCTGGCCCTCGCCGTCCTCACACTGCACCTGGTCCTGGAAGCTCTCCTGCTCTCCCGCCGCGCCCCCTCGCCGCCGCCCCCGCCGAACGCCGGGCCGACGACGGCCTCCGAGCGCCTCGCTCCTCCCGACGCCGCCGCCCTCCGAGAGCACCTCGTCAACGGTGATGGGTGCCTGCTCCTCCCTCGTGCCGCGGGCGCCGTCCTCGGAGAACGACGCGCGGCCCGAGAGGCTGCCCAGCTGCTCCTCCGCGGCCCCGGCGTCGCCGTCCTCGTACCGAGAGCACCCGGCCGTGTTGGTGTCCCCGTGCGCCTCCTCGGCCCCGCGGCCGCCGTCACAGAGCCCCGTGGTCGAAGATGGTCTCTCGGGCTGGGCGACAGGGGGGGATAGCAAAGGGGGGGGCTGAGAATCAGCTCTCGTAGCTGATTTCCCAGGCACCTCCCGGCGCCGGACACGGCTATGTATCGAGGAGTGGGCCCCTCGGTGGAGCCGAAACCAGCTGCATGCAGCAGATTTCGTAACCCCCCTTTCCCAATCCCCCCCTTTCGTCCGGCCCGAATCTCTCCCCCCCGCGAGGTGTACATCAGGAGCAGCTGAGCGAAAGTCAGAACCTGGAGGAACGTGAACACGGAGGGGAAGAGGAGGAGCAGATAGCCACAAGAGAACACCGGAACGAAGTCGCTCGAAAGTCCCAGGCCTGGTTCAAAACCTCGCAATCCTCTGCTGCCATCTTTGGCATGGCAACGAGCCCCATCCGGCAAACAGCCCCATGGTCGAAGATGGTATCCCGCTTCGCCTCCGCACCGAAACCGCCCCGATCGCCTCTGGATCCTGCAGATGCGCGTGCAGAAACGCCTCCACTTCGGGCCAGGGATCTTCAGCGGCAGCAGGATTTACCCCGGAGCACCACGATGCCTCAGGATCTGCGCGAACGAGTGGAAGGCAGAGAATGAGCTCAGCCGCGCCAGCGTTCATGGAAGCAGAGCCCACAACTGCACTGCACCGACGATGCCGCCACTACTGTCGGGCAGCGCTCGCGCGCCGCAGAATCGAATGCATGTGTGCAGCGACTTCACCGGAGAGAATGCCACGAACCTCACCCAACTTCGTGTCGAACGCAGGGTCCGCGTGTGAGGCGCTCCGTGGAGCACTCCGGGGCCGTACTGCAGCAGCAGCCCGCGCCTCGGGCGAGATGGGATGGCCTCGGGTGGTACGGCGTAGGGAACAAGAGCGTGATGCCAGTCCCGACGTCGAAACACTGCCACACTTGTTTGGTCTGCGGGTCGGGAGCGGGCCCCTTCCGGTCAAGAGCTAAACGGGACGCGGGTAGCCCTAATTGGGGAGACAGGGCGCGGGCGGGCGGGGCCTCAGGCGGCCAGAGGGCTCAGAAAACAGGCGGTGCCGAAGATCTTGCACAGGACAAGGTGCGCCATGGACTGGAACAGGGGGCGCGGTCCCACAGGGAAAGTGGATTGGTGTTGCCGTCATCGGCGAAGCACTGCCACACAAGCATCCTGGAACTCCGAACACGAGCGTGCAGACGCCCGAGCTCGTCGACCGCGGATGCGAAGCGCGCCAGGCGCGCAGGTCGGCACTCCACGCAGCCAACCCAGCCCACGAAACTGGATGCGAGGGAGCACAGCCGTGAGGAACAACACCACTGGGTGTGACACTCTTGAGGAGCACGTAGCCCAAACCCGCGAAGTGGAGGACGCCTCCGCACTAGAAGGCGCTGACATGAGATGACCGAGGGGCGCGAGCATCGGGCGGGCCGCGCAGCGGCTTGAGCCAAAATGGCTACGACGAGGAAGAGGAGGAAGAGGAGGAGGAGGAGGAGGAGAAGGAGGAGGAGAGGAGGAGAGGAGGAGGAGGAGGTGGAGGAGGTGGAGGAGGAGGAGGATGAGGAGAAGGAGGGATAGGAGGAGGAGAAGGAGGAGGAAGGGGAGGAGAAGGAGGGGGTGAGGAAGACACGCGAGCAGTGCTCCAAACAGGAACCCAACACAGGAGGGCTGGGAAGTACGAAGCGTATACGCTGTGCTCGGGCCGCAGCTTGCCACGGAGTGGTGCACAAACGTGCCATGGTGCGGTGGACATATCCCTGACCCCATGCAGGAGAGACCCTCGGCAAGAGTGCCCTTTGGTGCGCGGCTTGCCGATGGCTGCGTGAGGTGCGCCTGCAGCGGCCTGCGCATCTGGGCTCGGCCTCCCCGTGCCTTCCGACAGCCGCGCGCTCGAGGTCATTCCGGCGACGGGTCCCTCGCACGTGCAGCCGAGTCCTGCGCGGAGAGGGCCGCCCCAGCCTGCTGGACGGCGGGGACGCGGCTGAGGCAGTGCCTGAGCCCAGGAAGAGGAGAAGGGTACTGGCACCGCCACCGCTCCCTCGAGTTCGCCCTTCTGAAGACCTCATGGGGGGCCCTCGTCGCCACGGCCGAGTGCGCCTCGAAATCCTGGTCAGAACGCACCCCGGGAGAAGTCTGGGGAGTAGTGGTATCGGTACCATTTGGTTCCTCCATGGCCATCGTTTAACCGATCCCTATCCCCAATGGCGTGGCCTTGACCCCCCCACTGGCCGACTCGCCCCCTTCGCTGATTTGTATGCCCCTTCCTTTGGGTCTCGCGGGTCCCAGTCCCACGCAGAAAACTGGGCGGGTGGCGCCAAGCTGCCATGGCGCAGTGGGGACGGGGACAAGCTAGACGATACCGAGGGCAGTGCCGCAGGCAGTCGGCGAAGCAGCGGATCCTCCGCCGCCTGCGCGCAGTGCGCCCCCTGCCGAAGTCCTCGAACCACGCGGACGAGAGGGCCTCGTCGAGCTCCCGGAGGGTCGCCTGCGTCTCCGCCAGGGCGGCCCGCACCTTCTGCCGCATCAGCTCTCCGGTGCCGCCGTGCACCGAGGACAGCAGTACGGCGGTGCTCTCAGCGACGTCCTGGCACAGCCCCTCGGCCGCCGCCAGGGCCGTGAAACGCCGCTTGGGGATGTGGAAGCACAGGCCCGCGAAGACGCAAGCGACCGCGATCATGCCCGCGTAGTTGAACGCGGTCGAGGGGAACTTGTGGAAGTCGTCCGCCGTGGGATTGAGGAACGCCATCATGAAGTAAACGTGAGTGCTCAGCGCGAACATGCGAGTGTTGGTATCCGTGCCAATAACCAATACGAACACGACAAAGAGTATGAAATCAAACATAACGAAAAGCAGTTTCATCGTTCCGTGGAAGTCCATCATGCTCCACCAGACATTGAGCCAACAGACGTCGCCTGTGCCGGCGTAAACCTGGAATGCGTCGTGGCATAAGGGCAACCATAATGAGTTCACAGTCATATTCCGGCTGTCTTCCAGAATAGGTATGAACATATGCTCACAGTCGATTCGCTTACCGTTATAGGTGCAGAATTGGTCTCGGTAAGCTCCGCCGCCGAGCCAGGACCCGAGAACAGTGTTCAAGAATTCAATATTGGCGAAGGCGAGGAATGTGCCAAATGCGCCTTGCAGTGTGAACTTCGCAGAGCTGCCGTAGTCAATATAGACAGAGAAAACAAACTGCATGACCATGCTTCCCCACATTGTCAAATACCCTCGTCCCCTGCTCAGGCAGGTGCCAAACGGTGACAACCCGTCTCTCTTCCACAAGCAATACTTCGTGTTGACGCAGTCGTGGGCCCATAAGTCCTTGCACCCCCTGTCCCAGAGGGCAGTCGCGATGGGCCAGACGATCACGGGCAACGACAGGATCACGGTCCTCGGGAAAAAGAATAGCAATAGCCAGAGCCAGGCATCCCAAAAACAGCGTGTACAGGGCCACGGTGGCTCCGAAGACAGTTCGAGGGTCCTCCAAGTTTTCCTCGCCCCGCTGCTCCGGATCGGCCTGCCCCCTCGTCGTCATCTTCGTCGTCCTTCTCCTCCTACTCCTCCTCCTCCTCCTCCTCCTCCTCCTCCTCCTCCTCCTCCTCCTCGTCATCCTCCTCGTCATCCTCCGTCTCGCACTTTGTCTCTCCGCCTCACCACTCAGGCGGTAGGTGCCAGTGCACCTCGCACGCGGCATCTCGCAGCCCCGAGCTGCGAGGATGTCCATGGCGAAGCGGGCTGGTGCACCTCGCGCACGGCCTTTGGGAGCGTTGCGAGGATGAGCAGGGCAGGTGCACTTCGCGCGGGGCTCGATTCCCTGAAACCGTCAGCAGACTGAGCTCCGTTGGAAGGTTGAGGATGTCTCAGGCGAAACGGCTGGGCGCTGGTGACCTGGAACGGGATGATTCCACCTGCCCTCTGGGCGCAGAAGGCTTAGATCGATACGGTCAGAAGCTCTTGCGCAGCGTGTCGCGGCGGCAGCCCCGGCGACATGCTGTGCTCTGCTAGCGGATGGCGTGTCGCTCCGCTACGCGCGGCCGGAGGCTGGGTAAAGCTCGGCACCTTGGCACCTCGGGGCCGGGACGCAGTTCGCGCGCCGAAGCGAGGGGGGCCGGAATTGGCGGAGCGACACGCTTGAGGAGAGCTCCCAAACCGTAGGTCTTCCAATCCCCTTCTTCCATCTCGGGAAGACGTCTGCCTCTCCCCCTGATCACTCCCCTGAGGTCTGGACCGAGAGTTCGTGAGGCGTTGGAGCGACCAGGCTGGCCCAAAGCTGGATCCAAGATAGACCGCCCCCCGACGGCCCAAGTGGGCACAGAGCCTCTCAAGGATACCCTCGAAAGGACCACCATCTTTCAAAAGCCGCATCTGGTTTCAATAAGTTTCGATGGGCTCTTTTCCCCTTTCAGCAGTGGCGGACGACACCAGAGCCAATAAGAGCCGACCGAAGGGAGGTGAAAGGAGAGCGGGGGAGGACAAGGACGAAGACGAGGAGAGCGCGGGCCAATCCGCCCCTGCGCAAGATCTAACCAGTGCAACGCGCGCAAGTACCGCTACGTAGCATCGTCGGGTTCTCGCAGCACCAGCAGGCTCAGATGCTCATGCTGTGCTTGCAGTCGGCGCTCGGGGTCGCATCCTGAGAGTCGTCCTCGCCGAGCAGCCCCCCGATGGGGTACCCGGCGTGGCTCAGGCTGTTCACGAGCAAATTCAAAGACTGCATCCCAAAGACAATGTTGCCCCCAAATCGCCTTCATGTGCACAGAGGCGTAGATTCTCCAGCCTGGGAGCCCGGCATCCCGCTTCCAGGCGTGGTGCTTGCCATTCAGAAGCTCCCTGGCCACCCGTCCTCCAGCGACGCCCCAACTGTCAAGGTACGTGTCCGCGCACGCCCTGCTGTGCTGCTCCACGTGTGCTCCCTCATGGAGCAGCGCCCTCTGCACGTCCACGCCCTGCGGGATCGAGGGCATGGTGTGGCTGCCTGGCCTCACGAGATCGAGGCGCTCGCCGTCCGCGTGGACGAAATGAAGGGCCCCAGAGGCTGACACGGAAGCAGGTTTGGCAGCTGGTGTCGCCGTTGTTGGCGTCGGTGTTGGCAGTGGCGCAGGGACTGCCGTCGGCGCGTGGGTTCGCACTGGCGCTGGGGATACCGTCGGCGCTTGCGTCGGGGCTGGCGTTGGCGCCGTGGTCGGCGTTTGCGTCGGGGCTGCCGTCGGTGCTGCGGTCGGAGCCAAAGTCGGCGATGACGTGAGTGCGGGCGTCTGGCTTGGCGTTGGGTCCGGCGCAGGCGTCTGCGATTTGTGATGTCGATACCCGCCCTGGAAACGCAGAAAGTGGTCATGGAATAATTGGGACTGATAGAATTGATGCCCCAATTGCAGTTCGGGGTGCCACCCGGATAGTCTGCGCTCGGGGCGGTGCACTGGACGCACGTGTCGCCGCACTGGCAAGCATACAGTGCCCCGTGTTGTGAGCTCCTGGTGCGGCCGCTACTGTCGACTTACACACAATCAAGTAAAGTTGGTACGATTTGCCTGGACTGGAAGCGCGACTGAATTTGCTTGGACTGGAAGCGTGAGTGAGTCAACGCATGACAGGGGTCTGAACTTCAAGAGGTGTGCTGGCGACGACGACGACGCTGGCGACGGCGAGACCCAGTGAACAGAACGCGCGACGGCCAAAATGTCGGCATCGAGGGCGCCCCATGAGGAAAATTCTGGAAGGAACCGCCAGAAGAAAGTTCCAAGAGCGCCTGATTTAAAGCCTAGAAGGCGCCTTCCCCCCCCTGCCGCGCCTGTTCCGTGCCCCTGCATAAGTTGTCCTCGGAATCCTTCTCTCATCTTAACTAGGGTACAGTGGTCCAACAGGATCCGCGCCAAACGCGCTATTCTCCCATCGCTCGGATCCGTCAGACCCATCGAATTCGCGAAAGATTCGTCCAAAAAGCATCGGATCCGCATAGGATCCGCAGCGGGTGCGTACCCGGATCCGACGCCCGAGGCGAAGTTGATACCCCCGAGCGGGGACCTTCGTCAACGTCTGCGGGGGGCCCTGCATTCGTTTTCGGGCCCCAGACGCTGCGCCCGTCGCCCGCGACTTGCCGCCAAACCCCCTTTCCTCAGGCTGGCTGGGTTGACGGCCCATGGCATGGGTGGACCGACGATCTGGTGCCGTCGTGCGATTTGAATATTTGGGCCGGATTCTCAAGCCGTACTCGGTAACCGGACTGACTGTAGTGACAATGCCAAATCTGACGCCGCCAAAATTCACAGTGGCCAGCGGCACATCGAATATGTGGTTGTTGAGGCAGTTGAACTCTCTTCTGCCGCAAATTGAGCAACCAGCCTCAGAGGTAGCATGAACAGTGTATTGGGGGGGTTGCGCCTGGCGTCTCTGCACGGGATCAGGTTCTCCTTCCCTTAATGACCCTGCATCAAGCACATGTCGACGTGGTTGCCCTCATATGTTGCGAGGGCACTTCCTTCTGTTGCCGTGGCCCACGCAAAAAACGATGAGCCCGCTGTAGTCGTACATCATGGTGTACACCGATATGTTTATCGACATTTGTACAGCAAACAGCTACGTATGCCCAGCTCAATCTATGGAGCTTCAATCAAAATCGCAACTGATCGCTTTCGATGGCCTCTTGAGGCTCAAAGTGGCTTCAAACTTGCCCAGGAGAGCCCCTCGAGAAGTCCATCAAGGCTCCAAGACACCCTCGACGACCGACATGTGTGCCGCAAGAGCGCTCCAAGAAACGATGTTTCGTTTCGGGCTCTGACGGGTGTGCTCTACTTCAGGACCCTCCGTTCTTTGAGCGATACTCTCCAAGATGACCCCACACACAAGTTCCCGCAAGGCCCGCAAGAGAGCCACGCGAGGGCCCAAAGGGAGTCCCGAAGACCACAGAAACTTCCCCAAGGGACCCAAAGATGTGCCAAGTAAGTTTCCAAGAGGCTCTCATATCAAAACATCCACGAAGGCATCCTGGATCTGATTTGATCGCTGGGTCTGCTCAGACTGATCCCGAATTTACGTTTGACGGGTGCCACCGCTCTGTGTTGCATTGTTTGCTCCCGCACTTCCATGAACAAGGCGACTCGCATGGGCAAGTCCCCAAGGTCTCTGGAGGTCTCCCGGGGTCCGCGGAGGCCCTAGAAGGCCCCCAGTGCCCCCCAGAGGACCGAAAGGGCTGTAAACGCTCCAAAGCCTCACTTCTCGATCCTCCTCCACCTTGTGTTTTGGAAAAAAACTCCACCCTTTTGCGCCATCAGACATGTCGTCAGGACGGGCTGGGCGTTGAGATTTGGTAACCGTCTGCGACCTTGACGCTTACAATGCACGACAGGTGCACGGATAGAGGGGAGGCCGATTTCAAAATGGGGCTCTGGCCTTGGCGCCGCGCACGCTCGTCTAAACAACAGCATGGCAGTCACACTGGTGTAGGGTGGCTCTTTTCGAAATCGGGCACTCGATCGAGACCTTCTCAGCATTTGTTGCCACACATGCAGGTACACAGCAAAGCAGCTGCATGGATTGAGGGCGGCTCCTTTTGGGTACCGGGCAATCGCGTGAGGCTTAGCTATACCTAGCGACATAAGTGGAAGCAGCGTGCGACCATGGCGCGGATGGAGGGCATCTCCGTTTCAGAACGGAGCCGTCGCTGGCCACCGTCTCGAATGCTACGACCACGCTGTGTCACCATCTCTCTAGCTCGGAAGGTGTGGGGGGGAGAGCTTCTTGCAGAAAGGACTTCCCGCCTGGATTGCGGGCCCGTGGGGCGCCCGTCTAGCAAAGGGGGCGCTTCGCGCAGGAACTGGAACGCTTACATGGAAAAGTGAGGAAGGGGACTTGACCCACCCGGGAAAGTATCTTGCAACATCGTTGGGAGCGTATTCGGTTGACTCTGCCCGCTGTGGTGTCGAAAAAGTGCCACGCCTGCTTTCCTGTGGGCAATGGCCCGCACAGCGCCCCCACTTCACGCGCACCTTTTGTGTTGTCGGGAAAGTGCCATACCTTCTAGCCTGGTGAGAAGCTGCCGAACCTGTGAGCCTGTGAGCCAAGGTCTGCATAGCGCCCCCGTTACCTGCGCCCCCTCCGTGGTGTCGGGAAAATGCAACGCCTGCTAGGCGAATGACGGTGCACGGTTCTGCGTGATGTGCATGTCAGCGTGTATGTGTACGTGCGTATGTGTGCATGTGTATGCCTGCGTCCTACGTGCGTGTGCAGTGGTAGTCTGCGTACACGTGCGAGCCTGATGTATGTGTGTGTGTGCGGGTGGGATGCGTCCACGCCTGGCATGCGTCCACGCTTTGTTCTCGTGTGTGGTGTGATGTGCGTGCGTGTGTCCGGCTCCTTGGGTGCACCTTCACCGCCTCATCGCTGCGCGCAAGGCCGCGATCGCCGAAAAGTGTGTCTGGCTCCACTGCGCCATGCTTCCTGGCCTCGGCCTGTCACTGTCTGCATCGTCTCCTTCTCCTCAGCATGGCCTCCTGACCCCTCGCGGGACTTGCCCCCCTTTCCCCTTCCGCGTTCCCCTTGCGACTTCCCCCTCGCGAATGTTGCCGTCTGATCCCCTATGGGTGGATCTGGCTCCTCAATACTGCGTGAGCTGGCCCGGACCGCGCGTCGATCGTTGCCCGACTTTCACTACGACGCGCCGCCGCGCGCGTGGCCGCGACGCCAAACAGTGTGTATGTGTGTGTGCTTGTGTCTGTGTATGTGTCTGAGCTGTGTGGTGTGTACATGCATCTGTGTGTCATGCCGCGTAGTGGTAGTGTGGTCTGGTGTGGTGTATGTGCGTTGTGTAATGTGTGCACGCGTCTGTGTATCTTTCCGTGCCACGTCTCTGTGTGTGTCTGTGCGCGTGTGTCTGAACGCGTATGCCTGCGTGCCGTGTCTTTCTGTGTCTTTGCAGGGACGGTTGTGTGGTGTGCGTGCCATGCGCTGCAGTAGTGGTTGTGTGGTGTGAGTGTTATGGGAGTGACTAATTTTGGGTGTGTGCACGACTGGATGCTGACGCGAGTCTAATATGGCAAGGTGAGGCTAAGGGGAGGTGTGTGTGTGTCTGCGTGAGCAGACGCGGGTGCGACGCGGGTGGGGAGAAAACCAGAGCCCCCTTTGCATGTGGCGGGCATACCACTCGCGTAATCATACATATAAACACATGTCTGTAACCAGACATACTCATACATACGCAGATTCGTACACCTATGCACCTATACATATACATGTATGTAGACACACGTCTGTACACACATCTGTATATACATATACATGCTCAAATGTGCGAGTCCTGCTTATACAAGGTACACATCTTTACATCCACACATATATATATATATATAGATGCACATGTCCATACGGCATATACACATATTCCCCAAACAGCCAAACAGTGACTGAGGGAATCTGACCTCCCTCCTGCCAGTTTCTCAGGAACTGGGCCCGTTTGCGGGCCTGGCGGCCCTGTTCCCGAAGGTCGCCGCCCTGTTTCCCCAATACAAAACCCCCCCCGCTACCATCCGTCGCCACCCCCACGTTGCATCCCCCCCGCGTAGGACACTCACATACACACACATACACACACACACACTCACACACACGCACACACTTTTGGTTTGCATTGCGTCGCGTTGCTTTTCAGTGATTGCAGTGCTTCGCATTGCTTTGCATTGCTTTCTAGTGTTTTGCATCGCCTTACAGTGTTTTGCGTTGCTTTGCACGGCTTCCTTGTATTCCTTTGCATTGCATGGCTTTGCATCGCAGTACATCGCTTTGTATTGAGTTGCGATGCGTCGCGTCGCAGTTCATTGCTTAGCATTGCTTGGCTTTGCTGTGCACTGCTGAGCTTTGCTTTGCCTAGTGTAATTATCGATGTTTCATATACGCACATCACGCAGGAGTGTTCCCGCTGCGCTGGCCTGACTGAAGGATCGGCGCTTGGTCCATCGCGGGCCTCATTTCTTGACACCAGACTCAATCCTCGACGTCGTCGCCACCCCTGCTTTCCCTTCGTCCGCCTTCCCCAGCTCCTCCTGCTCTTGCCGCTCCCCGTTCTCCTGCTCCTGCTCCTGCTCCTGCTCCTGCTCCTCATCCGTCCTCATCCTCCGCCCTCAATCTCCTGCTCATCCTCCTGCTCATCCGCCACCTCCCCCACTGACGTACACGGCTCTCGTTCCTGATTGCGCATCATACGATGGGGTCGTCGGGGGAATCGAGGCCCGCTTGGACACTCGTCGGCGTACAGAGCACACAAGTCAACGCGATGGGAAGGTATGGGCAGGAGGGCCGGGGCGTCAGATACTGCGTGAGCGCACACACCCTGCCCCCCCCCCCTCCCCCCTCCTGTTCTCCCCACCTCCCTGCTCCCTCCCTCCCTCCCCACTTCCCTCCTCCCTCCTCCTCTCTCCCCACTTCCCTCCCTCCCTCCCTGCCTCACCTCATTCCCACTTCCCTTCTCCTCATTCCCTTCCTCCCTCCCTCCCTCCCTCCCTCCCTCCCCCCTCCTCCTCCTCCTCCTTCTCCTCCTCCA